TATAAATATTCTATTTATATTGGTATTGAACACAATAACAGTAATTACTCGTATTTCTATAAAAAATTCTACAAAATTGTAATTAATGGTATTACCTTGGGTACTGGTATTACCACAGATTTTTGGGGCAAAATATTTTGTACTGCATTTTCTCCTTTCTCCTATATGTGTGGAGGAGTGTTCTATATCGCTGATATCAGACATTTTAATATTATAATTATCGAAGTTTAGCTATCTACGAAAATTTAATACGTTTTGACAACTAAAACAATTACATAGGAATTTAGGACAAACGTCAAACATCATGCTTGATTGAAAAATTGTAGGTTTCTATTGATTAAAAATCTGTATCATAATGAAAAATCTGTATCATAATGGGTATCATTATGAAACGGATTATGGGCATATAAGTGCATTATTATAATACGGGTGTAGAAAAAAATGTGTTTTAAAACAAATTTTTAGCCTTTAGATATTTAAAAAAATAATTGCTTACATTTTTACTTCAAGGCATACGCTTATGTTTATTTTGAAAAATATGGATAATCAATCTATGTAACTATCTATTTCATTGACCTTGTCAAATCACCAGGTCTACAGGGTTGCCATAATTTTGCAATATCATAACCCGTCAAAGCCCACTGGTAGGCATTCAGTTTGGAATGCCTAATTGTGATCTGAAATGTGTGTCTAAAACGAAATGTCACTGTCAAATTAAAGTCAATATGGTTGTTGATTGATGTCAGAAATACTTTTTTCTTGCTTTTGAAATCGACTTTTTGAGAATAAATATGATCTTTTTAAAATGGATATTAAATATTTAAGAAAATTGTTAATGGAATATCCAGATGTAGCCAGGTTAGTATAAAATATAAAGACCTGTTTACATTTTTAAGGATATATTTGTTATAGGTATAAAAAGTAAAAGTTAATCAGTGAAGTGGATCACACAGTAACTGGTATCTCTTCTATGAGTAATGTGGATATTATGGCTTATTTAGTGTTAACCCATGGTTAATGCGCTAGAGGGCAAATAGAGGCATTCAAAAGTTTACAGGCCTATGAGTCAGAATTTGTTTTTAAAACTGGAACAAACATTTTCGTAACACATGTCAACATATAATTTTTAAAGTGAACTATTCATACATACCTATGTATTAATTTTAAGTATTTTTAAAATATTTTTTGTGCCAAATTAAGATTATAACAATTTTGTAAATAGTTTTATTCTATTCTAATAAATAAAATTTGCTTGAATATTTAGTTACATTTTAATCATTTTGGTTAGAAATTCATCAATTTTTAGTTTTAAAAAAATCAGTAATAAAGTTATTTTTTTCTAAAATACTTCGGAATTCATCTCTTAATGGTAATCTCCCATCTTTCTACCTTCAAAAACCAATAATGCATTTTCTACAAAACCTTCAGAATCAGCATGTAAAATAATAAGGTGTCTTCCCTTTCTTGTAAGGCTTTTCAGGAATTGCTACCTTTAATAGTACTCAGTGTAGAAGGATCCATAATTGTAGATTTTCAATACAATTGCTTACTGAAGAACTATTATTTACGAAATAAAGTAAAAAACTAAGTAATGGATGAGATATCAAATTATAAAATGTCAGAACTGTCAACAATATCAATTATTAGCTGATGTTCATGCTAAAAAGTAATGTGTGAAACTGACTGTAATCTGACCAATCAGATGGCTACAGAATTGCCAACTTAAATTCAAATCGCTCCTCTTAGTTTAAAAACAGAGTATAATGATAGTTATTGGCCTATAATTTTCTATTAGTTGTTTATCACCCTTTTTAAATATTGGTATTACTTTAGTGTTTCGTAAGCATTCAGGGAAGTAATTATTTTTAAGACACAAATTGAATAATATTGCAGGCAGAGCTAAGGCAGATGCACAATCGTGAAGAAGGAAAGCTGGAATGAGATCAGGTCCCATTGTATGCTTTGGTTTAATTTTTATGAGATTGTTTTTCACTTGAGCCACAGAAAAGAAGTTAATATTTAATTGATCTACAAAATTAACAGCAGAAGTATTATTTTGATAGTTGTTGATTAAAGGTTGCGAAAATGAGTTACAAAATCAATTGTTTCGAAAGCACGCTTTAAATCCACAAATACACTCAAAACTATATTTTCTTTTTTAATTTCCTCCCACCAATTATTACTTGATAATTATTAAAGTTTTCTTCAGGTAATCCGGAATAGCCTTCAAAATTGATTTGATCTATTAGTAGATTTCTTCTGCCAAATAACTATTTGATTGTTTGTCACATGGTATGTTATGTTAGGTATGTGGTAATTATAGTGGTATGTGGTATTAATACACTTCGACCTAGAAGATCTATTATGCCCCCTTCTGTCGCTAATGCAGCAAGAAAATAGTATAGATGCTTATAACTAACGACCCTTCCAATCCTGTCTTCTCAAGGAAGTTTCAGTCAAAATGTGAATGGAGGTTTCGCCCTTCTCCTCACAGAATTTGCATTCACCATCTTCCACTACTCTCAGTTTATTAAGATGTTCTTTTTCATTTAGTCCTGTAGCAAAGAGATTGATAAATTTATTGATTTTTTATATCGTTTACATGACATAAGACAAGTGACAAACAGTATACTCATAAGGTATCAAAAGTTGATAAATAATAAGCCAAAAATTATCTTATTAAAAACATGGTTAACAAAAATTTAGTACAGAATAAAATTACGAGACCGATAAAGCATTGTTAAAATTCCAGCCAATAAATTCGCCTAGAGAATAAAAACAATTTTCAGTTAAAAACAACTTTAAACTGGTCTTGAATTTGTTAAAATGTCTTATTTCTTTGATTGAATCTGGTAACAAATAAAAAAACTGCATACATTGGAGACTTTTAGTTGAAATCGATTGAATCTGTTTAGGTGGATCACTTTTATTTCTCGTGTTATAATTATGGACATTTTTTTTTAAAACTTATTCTTACTAGGAAAAGTGTAAGTTAATAGTTTGAAAAGATAGATATGCAGGTCATGATGTTATTCTTTTTAAATGTATCTCTACAAGATTCGTTGTAATCTTAAAAATTAGGCGAATGAATCGCTTTTGAATGACGAATATTTGTCCAATTTCCGTTGCTTGGCCCACACAGTTATATTGCAGCTGATGGCAGAGTATATACATGTATAATACAAGTTAAGTAGGTGAGATTGATAAAAATTGGATTTCAAACTATTGAAAGCAAATTAGATAGAGTTTTACAGAGAGAGCCAATTTGATGGTTAAAATTTAGTTTGAAATTTAGTGTGTTCCACATTCTCAAACATGTTGTTGCCTTCCTTAAGTGGAGATGTGAATTGGATAAAAATGGTTTTATATTCATTGATAATGAGATGATTTTTTAACACCAATGAAGGAACTCATTGTTGGTTATTTGTATTTTATTAAGTAACTCATCTAAACTGTCAGCTACAATTACAATTGTTGTGTCGTCCGCGTATATAAAAACTCGACAATTTGTTATAATTAAGGGTAGGTTATTTATATAGAGGTGAAATAAAATTAGTCCTAATACTCTACCTTGCGTAGTTTCAATATCCCAAGTGTCTTCGTTCCTGAAACTAATAGGATTACTCCGTTCCTCGTCATTCTATATCTTGTCATTTTTTCACGTTCTCTATCATTAAATGTAGAGGGGTCAGGTTTAAAATCACCTCCATTGCAGCCATCTTTTTGCTCTCTCCTTTAGATTTTGTCACCTTTTCTCGACTTAATGCACTGACTGTCTAGTTCCTCTTATTTTTATAGTCATTCAAATCTTCCTGAGTATTTGTAAACTTAAATCTATTATATTATGCATCATTGCTTAATTTTTGTGCATCTATGACAAGTCTACTGATCCATGGTGTCTGGTGGCATTACATTTTATTAATGGGTCAAATTCTATCAAGATAATATCGAACACCTCGACATCTGTTGAAGATGTTTACCAATGCTTTCTATCTAGTCAAATATAATATTGTTTACATTTTCCTCATTCATATTTCGACAAAAATTTGTGAATTCCTATTTTAAATCAATTAAAAGATGAGTTTTTTTAAGCTTGAGGTAGGGAATTGTACAGTTTAATGTTGATATATCTATAATAATCATAAAGTTTGGTTAATCTGCAATTGGGTAAAGATATATCGTAATTTTTTCTGGTGCAATAAGAATGTTTAGAGCTCTGTCTTATAACATTATTATTACCAATTTGTTCTTTCATGTATAAAAGACACTCTAAAATAAAACAACATGGTTGGCAGTGACTATTGTAGCTACTCGATGTCATGATACGCACTACTTTTTTTTGTGCAATAAATACCCTAAGTTGGTTGCTTGTATTTCCCCAAAGTATAACCCCATACGTCATAATGTTATTAAATAATGAAAAGTAGACCATTTTTAAATGTACAATGTCTAATTGAAATTTTAGCTGTCTAATTGCATAAGTAGCTTTTGCTAAACGACTTAGTAAACTTTGAATGTGATATTTAAAATCTAGTTTCGGGTCTAAATATATTCCTAAAAGTTTAACCTGTTCCTCACTTTTAGCAATGATAGAAAATGACATTTGCTGAGTTTTTGCTTCGTTTAATGTAAGACCATTGCTACCAAACCAATTATTTGACATAACTTCTGCTTCATTTAGCCTTTCTATTGTATCAGATTTATTTTTATCTATAGATCATGTTTTTGAGTATTTTTGATAGCTTGCTGAAAGATATTGTAGTTCATTTATACGGTGAAAAATACATAGCACAAGCGACCTTGCAAAAAAATAGGGAACATTTTTTAATAGTAGCCACTGAAAAAAGTTTCCCCATTTATGACTGGACTAATTGGTTTGAATGTATCGGTATCTTATTAATGTATACATAATTTAAAATTTACATTTTTAAACAACTTTTAAGTAAAATAATTCTGTTAATATTGTTAATAATTTATATATTGTTTTTTTTTATTTACAGTTATGATAAATTTTGCATAGTTCAGCCATGACCAAGACTAAAGAAAAGTATTTTCCGGATAAAATATTTAATAGCATTATCTACGAGTATCCATCCCACCAATCGCATCTTTTAGAGGGACTGAATTCTTTGAGAGACAAAGGGGAACTTTTCGATATAACTCTAGTCATAGGTAAGTTTTTTTATTACGCTAATGTCTAACTATTCTTATCAGAGTGCTGAAATATTAAGTAATATTTTAAAGAGAGATCCACAAAAATGTTTCTGAAATAGGTCATGACGAACAAAGACAAAGATAAATAAACACGGCTCTGAATAAAATACAAACTGATACTTAAGGGCGTTCTCGTATTTTTGATTTTATCGGATTCGAAAACAAGACTCTGACAAAGAACCAGTGTTATGAAGTTAATATTCGTTCTAGATTGGGATTTTTCTGATCGGAATTTATTCTTTCTCTTCTATATTTCCATTTTTCTTTCTATAAGAATTTCATTATCTTCTTTATTGCTGGCCGGATAGAAAGATCCCTGGACAATAAGGAGTCCGCCTTGGGTGTTTTCATAGATATAGAAGGTGCTTTTGATAAAACCACCTTCCCAAAGATAGTACACTCACTAACCAACAGGAATGTTCCACAAATATTTAGTGGGTGGATACATAACATTCTCCCAAAACGAGCAGTAAACATAAGTGTAGAAGATGTGAATATATGAGCCACAGGGAGGGGTGCCATCACCTCTACTGTGGAATATGGTCCTCGACACCCTCATCAGCCGCCTCAATAATGACAGTCACTACACAATAGCATATGCAGATGACCTGGTCATTCTGCAAACAAGGAATTTTGAGAACATACTCTGCGAAAGAATGCAAGTAGCTCTAAAAATTATGAAACAGTGGTGCAAGGACCACTCACTGTCTATCAATCCTAAGAAAACAGAAATGGTCCTTTTCCCAAGGAAAAGGATGAAAATGGAATTAAAACCTCCAGAACTCCTAAACACGAAACTAAACTTTGCAACAGAGGTGAAGTACCTAGGTCTCACCTTTGACAGCAAGTTAACATGGAACTCGCATTTAGAAAACATAGTTAAAAGGGCATACATTGCTTATGAACAATGCTGCTGAACCGTGGGGCGCACCTGGGGTTTCTCCTCCAGAGTCGTCACATGGACTTACACGGCTATCATAAGACCTATGCTAACATACGGTGCAGTTGTCTGCACGGCGAACAGATATATCTTCCATAAGCCATATAAAGTTATAATAGAACAAATAGAAGAGCCAGAAGTGGCAGGTACGATTCATATCTACACCGACGGTTCTAAAACAAAACAAGGCCCAGGATGTGGAATATACTCCAGATTCTTAAACCTAAACATAAAATGGGCTGTGAGCAATAGTGCCAGTGTAGTTCAAACAGAGCTAACGGGGATTCTCATAGCAGTAAAAGAAATAACCAGAAGCAATATCACTGGAAGGAACATGCTCATATATACAGATAGCAGACAAGCACTACTCACCCTGAACAGACCACGAATTTATTCAGGGTTAGTACTAGAATGTCACGAAGCTTTGGCCGAAGTATCCATCAACAATGTGGTCACCTTAAAGGTCACGCCACATCGAAAGGTAACCGTCTTGCTGATTCACTAGACAAGAAAGCAGCCAACCAAATAGTTTTTGGACCTGGCCCTTTCGTTGGCCTGACAAAATTGGTAGTGACAGACCTAATTAAAGAATAGTCCCTTGTGAAATTCAAGATGGGATGAAACAAGAAACTGCAGAGTTGCTAGGGAGTTCTTAACTTATCCTGACAACACTGCAGCAAACAAATACTTGACTATGACTAGACAGAATCTGCGCCTAGTCACAGGCATTCTAACTCGTCATTGCCAAGTGCAGAAGCATCTCCATGTAATGGGGCTGTCAGAATCCGCACTCTGCAGAGGGTGCGAACAAGAAAATGAGACCAGCATATCCTTTACGATTGCTCGAAGCTCTTATTTATTAGAAGATTTGTGTTCGGATAACACCGGCCGATATAAGAGAAGCACCTCTTGGCGACGTTGTCAACTACATTAAATCTGTAGGCTGGCTCACGAGCTAGGAGGTGCCTATCATCTTAGGGGGATGCACAATGGGCCTAATGAGACCTAAGTGCCGTGGGGGTAACCGACCCTCCACACGTTACAGATACAGAGATCTTCTTTATTACTTGATTATTTTTCAATTTATTATTTAGTTGACAATTGGTATATTAAAATTATATTTATTTTTGCAGAAGGTAGTGAATTTAAGGCCCACAAAGCAGTATTAGCAGCATGTAGTGATTATTTTCGAGCTATGTTCACAGACAACATGTTGGAAGCCCGGCAAGATGAAATTTGTCTAAATGGGATCAAAGCTAAAGGTCAGCAACAATTATTTGTATTTTTGAAAGATCAACACTTCTAATTTTTTGAAACTACTTGTATATTTCTTTTAAAATATTTTATTTTATTTAAAGAAGCCACTTTTTTGTTGCAGATTTTTCGATAAATTGTACGTATTACAGTGCTATTTTTTAGGTTTTCATCAACTTTTGGACTACGCTTACACCACTCGCCTAGCATTAAATATAGCCAATGTACAAGAAGTTTTAGAAGCAGCCTCTTACGTTCAAATGCTTCCTGTCATACAAGCATGTTCCTCATTCCTGCAAACTCAGATAAATATAGATAATTGTGTCGATATTGCTACAATAGGTAAAAAATTCTTATTAACGTTATTATTAATTCTAGTTAAATTATTCTTGACTACATTCGGCAAGGATTTCATAATTGTACAATACTCTACTATAGATGTATTTGTAATGACAAAAATGTAAAAAAAAGGTTAAAGATATGTTAATTAATTATTATTATTATTATTATTATTATTATTATTATTATTATTATTATTATTATTATTATTATTATTATTATTATTATTATTATTATTATTATTATTTTTGAAACAAGCAAAAAACTTTTATGAAGGGCATTTTCTCTAAAAGTTTAAATTAACAAAGTGTGTCCTCTCTTTCAGTCCGTCTGGGGACAATCTGTATAAATCGTAATATGAACCTTACATACACACGATGACTTTTTGTGATTAAAATTACAATTTTGTTAATTTTCTTTAGATAAATATTTTTTTTGTAATTTTTAGCGGAGACCTATTCCCTTTCACAATTAAAGATGAAAGTATATAGGTATATGAGCGGACACTTGCTAGAATTTTCAAATAGTCCGGAATTTTACCGACTAACTCCACAACAGTTGGAAAATTTACTTGCCTGTGATTACCCCGTGGACTGTTCAGAAGCCGACGTTCTTAGAATAGTTCTTGCCTGGTTTTTCCATGTAGATACAAATGAGTGAGTATAAAAAATTGTTTCTTTCCCTTAAATATACATATATATCTTCTATCAGTCCTGTATATTTTTTTTTATAAAAAAATTGAGAACGTCGACGTACTATTGTACTTTGTAATAATTTGGATTATTGTGTTTTACCCCATGTTAGTTCATAGCACCCACTCTGTCAACTTTGTACCTTGTACAAGTTTGTACAGATCCTTGGGTGAGTGGGTTCTATACGTTGTTGGATCAACCTGGGGTTGTCCAAAAAGAGCCTGTCTTTTGCGATCTAGAGCTTCGCATTCGCACAGTATGTGTTTGGCCGTTTCTGATTTCTTGTGACATAGTCGGCACATGAATTCCCCATTGTACATGCCAATTTTGTTCAAGTGTCCCTTTTAATGGGGCGTGCCCAGTAATAAATCCTGTTATCACTTTCAACTGGTTCCTATTCATAAAGAGTAGTTCTCCAGTTCTTTTGGGACATGGTTTGCCTATGAAGGCTTTTCCATGTGCCTGTTTTGGGGTGCTTCCCCCATAGTTGATATGTTGTTCCCGAATCCAGTCGTTTATGAAACCCCGGACTGTACTTTTTGGTACTCCTGGGTTTGTGTCTGGTTCCGTTGTTTCTTCTGACCCTCTTTTTGCAAGTTCGTCAGCCTTTTCGTTGCCTTCAATCCCTTGGTTATCTGGCACCCAAAATAGTTTTACTCTATTTCGGTCTGCCAGTGTTCTTAGTTCTTCGATGCTTTCCCATACCAGCCCCGACGTAACTTTCTGACTTAAGTGCCGCTTAAAATGCAATTATGTCAGATTTGTTTGGGTTAATGTTTAGTCCTTCCGCCTCTGTCCATTTTGTTACTATTACTCAAATAATAGTGGATTTTATTTGTTGCACTAGGTTTTCTGCACTTTTCGCTTTTGATTTGTTCAGTGTAGCTTCATATATTTAACACATACTTGAGTATAGCATATACTTTTGACAAATATGACAGTTCGAATACAGTGTGACACTAGTGCAATATATATATATTCTAAGAGTGCAATAAATAAAATCCATTATAAGATTCAATTTAGTACAGTAGTACATATAAGAACTGCAGATACCGATTTCGGAGAGTTTCTTAAGTAGTAAATAGCTTTTGGCATATCGGTATAGATGGTGTCAGTTGATGAAATTAAGAAATCTTGGTAGATTGCTAGATTAGTTGCTGTTGAGGCGACCTCGATCTTGCATTGTAGGCCTGAAACTAATCGAGATTTTATTCATAATCAACATTTTTGCGGTATTGATTTTGAGCTTTAATCAATTCACTACAGACCATATTTTTCATTCCTATTTAAAGTAGAACCAGAAATCTTGTAAGGTCATAAAACACCAACCACTTAAGTTATTAGCAGGTGATCGCCTCTACTCAGAAACGTACCTACTCTAGCGTTTCTAAAATCGGTAAAGCGGTCAATTATACGAATCGTTATCTTAAACAAAATACTTTATTTAAATAGGTACTTTACAAAATACTATTTCATAAGATATTTTGATCCTGACCTGGGAATATTTTAAGGGACACACAATTTTATTGCTTATCTACATCTCGAACAATAGGTAGTAATGAGGGTCGTCGGCTAATACTGATTTATGACCATACAATATTTCTGTTTCTAATTAACAAAAATTCTCTATTATCACTATATTATTTTTCTTATTATAGATTAGACGTTCGTCTTTCCTACGCCGTCCGCATCATCCGTTACATCCACTTCATCGAAATATCCAAGCGGAAACTCGACAGCATCCTAGACAAAGTTTTCGAAGGCAGAAAATGCGAATGGCAATTGTACAAAATAATCTTGCAAGAAGTGTACCGGCAATCCAGCCTCGAACAATCGGGCTTGTACAAAATCATCTTGCAAGAATTGTACCGGCAATCCAGCCACGAGCAATCAGGCATCATTTCCACGCTCCTCAACTCCAGGGGCATGGAGATGGCGTTGTTAAAAATCGGAGGGTTCGGTATGAGCGGCATCACTAATGAAATCACTTACTGTTTCGCATCTGAAAGGAAATGGAAACATCTCACCTCGATACCACATGTAGAGCAGTGCAATTTTGGTACTGCTGTGTTCAATAATGAGCTGTATATTGTTGGAGGTTGTTTTAATCAGAGTCTGCAAGAGAATATTCATCCGTTCGGATTTAGGTACACACCAAGGTAAGTAAAAAATAGTCTACTTTTTTTTTCAGAAACTTTAATTGGCTTTTAAAACGTTTAATCTTCAGGCTATTCGGATAATCAACACTATTTATTTTGATCTCGAAGTTGGAATCTTTAGTAGATGAACGGATATAATAGATGAACGGATATAATAGATGAACGGATAGTTGATTTAGAATATTAAGAAAACTTTATATATAGAATTCTATGCTCAATGATCGAGGAAGAGCTAGCGCTCGGGCCATTTTGATGAAGTTCTGTACTTGTTCTAACAGATGTCGCGACAGAATTGCCTCCAATGAAACGTTCATAAGGTTTTTCTACCATCTTATCTAAATACAATGCAACTCCATTTTTGAACCCAAACTTTGTTTTGTGCAGCCGGAGAGGCTAGCTGCGAGCTTAGTGTGCATTCACTTACTCGCAACAGTTAAGCAGTGATCTCTCCGGTTACGTCGTGGATGGGTGACCGCTGGGAGGTTCCACCATGGGCCGTGTCACTATGGGATTCGTCCAACTAGCGTTTAACCATCGACGACGTGGAATGAATGAGAATGAATTTAATAATCATAAAATCTACTTTTAATACCTTTTTAAAATATTTTTGCAAATGTGATTAGTCTTACGCCAGTAATTTGATTTTTTTTATTTTTTTTTTTTTAAACGGGAGTTGTAATTGATACTTTAGATTCCTGTAGTCTTTTACCTGATGCAAAAATCAAATTTGTTATATCAATAAAATATAGACATTTTTTAACTGGTTTAGAAAATATTCCATCAATACCAGTGAATTATTGTGTGATATTTTTATTTGTAGGGCTAATAGCCGTGGAATTCATTATTGTGAGCTATGCTAAATGTGGCCTGATCAGAGTCTTTTATTTTCGCTGCCATGTCTGAACCAATTTCATAGAAACATTTGTTACAAAAATTAGCCATTTCTTTATCATTTTCAAAATAGGAGTATTTGGATTTAGTTATCTTTATATCATTTGAATTTTCGTTTGTTTCCCAAATATTTTTTATAAAATATTCGTTTTTTGACATTAAGTTATGATTCCGTTTAATTGGTTCCTATAGTCTGTGTATGTATAAATTACTGAGGCCCTTCCTATTGGGCCTCAGTATTGTATTCGTGCAGACGAAAAAATTTTCTTACCCCCATTTTTTAAAACTTTTTATCATGTTTCCGATCATTCTGAGTACGAAAACGCAAAAAAAAATTCATCTGGTCGTCTGTGTGTATGTATGCCGGCACAATAACTCGAGAACGAAAGTTATGATTGACTTACGGTTTTGAGTTTCTTGAATAATTACTTTTAACTTAGAACCCTATTGATTTTTAGAATTTTCGGTTCATCCTAACTATTTTAATATCAATTTTCTTAAATTCCGCCTATGCAATTCTTATGTGACAATTTTAGGAATTCCAATTATTTCTAACGTCAACATTCCTAACATTCTCAACATTCCATAAATTGCAAACATTCTCTAACGACCTGTCAAACAACAGCTGTTGATAGTAAAGGTGAAATTTCTAAGGCGGGTTGCGACCTTCACACTTGCAACCATACCCATTTTGAAGGCTATTTTTATTCGAAATTAGTCGCCAAGCCTGCCAATTTATGAAAAATATATAAGCAGTTTCTTAAAAATGACTTTTTTATGGTGGTGCTAAATTAAGCGTACTACTATGTCGCCCCTAGCCACAAAAACACCTTCATCAAATTTACTGGCTCTCTGTCGGAACCCCATAGAATAATTAACCGACTATTTTATTTGGCAAAAAGCAGAATAATGCTTAGCTGTGCCTGTCAAGTATTAAGATGTCTACTGTGATGTGTGAATGGTTAAATGTCAAATTATTTAAAAATGTATGCTTCTTTTGATATTTATTGCAAATAATTTGTAGTGTATCTCAATTCAGGCTTTCAATAAATAAAGGTACAGCAAGACAAATAATATAATGTTCTTATACAAAGCACTTTTTTATTATATAAAAGAGAGTTAAGATATAATGCTGGTTTTTTGTAGATAATTTTAATTATACAGTTTTGGATTACATATTCAACCAGCGAATTGTAAATAATAATTAGTAAACTCCTAGTCATAAATTTCCTCAATTCATAAAATTTAAAAATGAATCTTCTTACCTTGGGATTTTAATGACGTAATGTGATCAACCCATTTCAAATTTTGATCAATTATGATACCTAGGTATTTCGTTCTGTTTTTTATTTTAATTATAAAGTTGTCATTTATTTGTATGTTGAAAGAAGGCCTTTGTAAATTAAATTGCTCTCTATGGATCTACTTTAACACAAAAATAGTTTTGTGGCTATAAGTTGCTATAAACTATCGTCGCAAAACTATTAATAATTTAAACGTAGTAAGTAGTAAAACGAGGGGTAAAATAACAATAAATTAAAGGAAATACTTAGAAAGGGCAGGTTTAAAGAGTATTATCACAAGAAAGTATATCCATTCTGTTTATTTATCAAGTATTGTTTGAGGTTACTTTTTAATACATTTATTGTTGTTTTTTTTTTTTTTTAATTTATGTAGTCAGTCTATTAAATTTTTTAAACCTTTAATAAAAATTGTATTTTGGGAACTTTTAGTGATGGCTTGCCGTACATGAAAGTCAGATTGGCTTCTTGTATTATAGTTGTGATATTGTGAATTATATTGAATTTTTTCTAATAGACCTGATGCGATGGATTTATGTCATTTTTATTTTATAAATAAATATCAGTCATGTACTGAACATAATTCTGAACTGAAAGCCAATTTATTTCTTTTAACATAGTTGCAATACTCATCCTTCTGTCCTTTATTAATAGAATATAAATAGGGGAAGTAAGGAGCCCAAATATTTTACATGAGCAGGCCTAAGAAGTAAAGTGGCCAATTATTATTGGATAAATTGCTCGAACAAGTTTTTAAACCCTAATCAAAAGGCGATATAGAATGGTTTTAAAAATCAAGACTTGTGAAAATCATCACATGGTTTAACCTAAGTAATGCAAATGCTTCACAAAACAAAAAATTCAACGTTCTAATACTACTATCAGCTTTCGGTCTTTAGTTCCAAGTTAAATGATTTCTCGTTTTGTTACGCTACGAGTTTACCCTTGTGGGCCTCAGTTTCGATAAGGTGGGAAGAACCACCATTTTAGCGTCTCTCGAATTATTATTATTAAAGTTATGTTTAAAAACAGTCCAGGCTGAACTTCGCCATTTCATCATCTATTATAAATAATGTTATATTATATTTCTATAATATATTTATGTTTGTACTTTTAATATTATTTTTGATGAATAAAGCCGATTTTTTTTTTATTATTATTATTATTATTATTATTATTATATTATAATTATTGTTGTTGTTGTTATTATTATTATACGTTTTATTTTCAGATATAATAAGTGGTCGACGATGGCACCCATGAAAATAGAGAGATGTAGATTCAGTCTCAACGTAGTAGGTGCACTCCTTTACGCCGTAGGCGGAGCTAGCGAAGCGGACGAATACGATGTCAGTACCTGCGAGTGCTACAATCCTTTAGTGGACTCGTGGTTCATGATCCAACCATTACCAGCTTACGTTACACAACACGCAGGCGTCGGGTTTGAGAACGATTACGAATGTAAGCTGTATATAAGCGGAGGAATTGATAGAGATAATGTACAGGTGAGTTGGTATTGATTGTAATCTTGTTTTTGGAAATTCTGAATTGTTTTTTTGTTAACTTACTCATTTGATCATCCCAGATTGTACCTCTGAATTTACAGAAGGATCAGTGAAAACTCACCCGGATGCACATACATAATCCGGCTCAGTTAGGTTATTAATATGAATGAGTTTAAAAAAAATAACAATTTTTATTTTTTTGTTCGATATTTTGAATCTCCCTGTAGATATTAAAGGTTTCTTGCCACCATTATAATAAGCAGAAAATTACGTAACTTTTATCCCTATGAAATAGTAGGGTATATAATGAGTTAAGGATGATAACAGAGAAGTAAAACCTAATAAAAACAATTTATTTTGTACTCTTGGACTAGAAATATTTAAAAATATTTATTCTTTTCAAATGGGGTTTTAATTATGTGTCTCCCATTAAGAGCACTGTCAAAGGAATGATCTAAAACTGGACAGAGGGAATACATGTATACTGAAGAGATACCGCAGGGCTCATTCGAAGGCGTTTACACCCAAAAAAATGATTCTGTGGTAATAAGCTTTTGTTAAATGGTGCATAAACTGAAAATCTTAATTTTGGACCCTGTAGTTTACCTTATCGGAACTTGACATTGTCAAACTGTTAGGAATAAGATAATGATAGTAATCTGTGCCTAAAAAAATTAATACCGTTGGTGCTTTTAATGTGTTGACTTCTACCACATTAGAAACATATTTCCAGTTTAAATCAACATCTTTGTTAAGTACTATATGAATATATAGTAACGTTGTACATTTTCCATATATTTTACAGACTAACCAGATGTTTTGTTATGATGTCAACTTGGAAAAATGGAAAATGTGCTCACCGATGTTTTTACCTCGAGCCGACCACGTGATGCTAAGCATAGGAAAATTTTTGTATGTTTGTGGAGGATGGACTGAAGATTCTAGATCTAGATCTCTGGTGGATACACTCGACGCCTACGATGTTGAAAAAGATACTTGGAGGGTAAGTTGTTAGATACAAGTTAGTACTATAAAAATAGGATTTATTTAATGAATAATCGTTATGTGGCGGAACTTAACAAAAAAGTTGTTTTCAATTTTATAATTTCCCTAATAAAGTCGTAATTTTGAAATATTCCTAATTGGTGCCCTCAATGTGGCAACTAGTAGTGTGGCGGATCAAAAACAAGTCTGAACTTAACGAATAACTTGTTTTTGTTTTTAAATTATAAATTTTCTTAGCGTGACATTTTATATTTTTAAGTTGTCAATTTGATCATTTCTGCAATAAAGTCGTAATTTTAAAGTATTCCTCGCTCTATTTGCTACAGTACATGTCTTATGATTCCAGATGATATTTTTGGAGAATTAGTATCCATCTATAACTATTCAGCATTGAGGAATAGATTATAAAAAAATACATTTTTGGCAAATCGGGTATTTAACGTATTTAGCGTATTTACTGAAAGTAACCTTTATCAATCTTCCGCCAACGCTTTCCTGAAGAATAACCAAACAACAAACGAACCGCCTAAGTGATCATTGACGCTAAAATTATTTATTTAGATTCCCGGTTCTTTCTTCTTTCTTAGGTTTTTATGGGCTCAATCCTTCAGGATTATTTACCCAGGTTATTTTTTTTTTTGTAGAATGAAATTTCATGAAAAAGTTGCAACTTTGTGCGTCTGACCGTATAGTCATCACTTTTTCACTAAACTTGATATTTAATTTACTTAAATATGTATTTGAAACTTCGGCACAGAATGTACCCAAGTATTTAGTAATATTTTAAACGTCGGATAGTCAATTTAAAACTTTATATTTTATGAAAACTGCGCTCCCGATTCTGAGACCACCATTTCAATGTTGACACGTCGGTGTCAGAATCGGAAGTCTTGAGATTCCCCGGTTTTTCTTCTTTTATATTCGATCCTACTCTTTTATTTTCCTATTTTCTATACCGCTTTTTTAATGATCGAAAACTCTTCTGTGTGAAACTTTCGCTAATTTCCCACAAAATTTTACTACCTTATCTACTGTATACCTAATCTGGAAAATGTTCTCGAATACCATTATATACGATTTAATTAAGTTATAGTTCTCTTCTGAAAAATAATGCCGTTTCGTAGAAGCTGCAGAACAGCTGGGTAACTCCTGATTAAATGACATTTAAACAAGTTCAAAAGAAAAAAATACATAAACTAATTTACCGAAAGTAACCTTTATCAATTTTCCGCCAACGCTCTCCTGAATAATAACCAAACAACAAACGAACCGCCTAAGTGATCATTGACGCTAAAATTTGACGACTCGTGGCAACGTGTAGGAAACTGGTATTCGGCTAGCATATTACCAAGATTTGATGTCGATGTGAAGCCATTTACTTATATTATTAAGTTTCATAGTCAAGTCTCTATAAAAACAATTAAATTAGGTACCTAAAATTTAAGATCTGTAATTTACTTCTGAGACAAATATTGTATAGTGAAAGAAAGTCTTCAGTATATGGCAATTCTGTTACACATAAACAAAACGAAACAAGACTCTTAATTTAGTTTATAAATATAGTAGGAAGGCCCACTGCATATTTCGGCCGTCATATGGATACCTATTCACTAACTCGTTAGAGTGCTCCTACACAACTGCTCCATCACTCTCCTACTCACAGTGTTGTCACTACCAAAATTTTGTTTTCGGTAGATATCTTGCTCAAAATTCGGTAGAAATCGGTAGACTTAAAGTTAAGATGTGTTTAAAGTAAAACGTACTAAAAACAATGTGTTTGGGGAATAATAGTCGCTTGATTAGAAATAAAAACAAAAACGAAGAATAAAACTATAATAATAATAAATATTCAGTGTTTCCGGATACTATCAAACTTTGTCAAATATTGCGACTGGTAACTATATTTTATACTCTGTTCCATTTTATTGCATTTTAGTTGCTAAAATTCATCCAACCGATATATTTGGGTCTCGTATTTTGAATTAAACATAAATATCTACTTAAAAATAATGAAAATTAAAAAGTTATTGTATTAATACTGTGGCTGTGAAGATTTTAAATTATGGTCATTAATTTTTTACTAATTATGCCGATTTATTTCGAAATTATAACACTTCTTTAATGCTAAATACTGCTTTTTATGAAGAAAGCCAGAAATTGTGCTAAACTTGTACTAAAAGATAGTAAAGAATTAAAAATCGGCAGGTCTTTATGGTAAATTGGTAGATGGACTGACAAATCGTTAGATCTACCAAAAAATCGTTAGAAGTGACATCACCAGAGATCACGAGGAAATGTAACTACTAACAAGTATCGTGCGGTCCTAAATAATATATATTCTAAGGGACACAGGCGGGTATAATATCCGCTGTTGTCATATGCCTATTATCAATGAATGGTTATATATCTGTTATCTCTGGACATCACTATTCATATGACTCTTACCCGATTTTATAATTTTATGCGCAGTAAGGCCAAATTATGAGAGACTACTCCTACACGACTACTCTCACAGTTACTGAATAGGGGTCCGGATAACGAAATTAAATATGCTCCAAAGGTATGTAACAACATTGAACTTTACCAAACAGCACCTGTGCCAATCACTATCCTGAATAATTTATTTCGTATACAAAAAAATCACATAAGACAATTTTGTTTACCATGAAAATTACAATCCCAATTCATTGTAAACCTATTTTTTAAACCATATAGCCTATGCAATTCTTATGTGACAATTTTAGGAATTCCAATTATTTCTAACGTCAACATTCCTAACATTCTCAACATTCCATAAATTGCAAACATTCTCTAACGACATGTTGAGCAACAGCTGTTGATAGTAAAATTGAAATTTCTAAGGCGGGTTGCGACCTTCATACTTGCAACCATAGTCATTTTGAAGGCTATTTTTATTCGAAATTAGTCGCCAAGCCTGCCAATTTATGAAAAATATGTAAGCAGTTTCTTAAAAATGACTTTTTATGGTGGTGCTAGCCACAAAAATACCTTCATCAAATTTACTGGTTATCTGTCAGAACCCCATAGAATAATTAACCGGCTATTTTATTTGGCAAAAAGCAGAATAATGCTTGGCTGTGCCTATCAAGTATCAAGATGTCAACTGTGATGTGTGAATGGCTCTTAAATGTCAAATTATTTAAAAATGTATGCTTCTTTTGATATTTATTGTAAATAATTTGTATTGTATCTCAATTCAGTCTTTCCATAAAGGTACAGCAAGACAAATAATATAATGTTCTTATACAAAGCACTTTTTTATTATATAAAAGAGAGTTAAGATATAATGTTGGTTTTTTGTAGATAATTTTAATTATACAGTTTTGGATTACATATTCAACCAGCGAATTGTAAATAATAATTAGTAAACTCCTAGTCATAAATTTCCTCAATTCATAAAATTTAAAAATGAATCTTCTTACCTTGAAATTTAATGACGTAATGTGATCAACCCATTTCAAATTTTGATCAATTATGATACCGAGGTATTTTGTTGTGTTTTACATTTTAATTATAAAGTTGTCATTTATTTGTATGTTGAAAGAAGGCCTTTGTAAATGACATTGCTGTCTATGGATCTACTTTAACACAAACATAGTTTTGTGGCTATAAGTTGCTATAACCTATCGTCGCAAAACTATTAATAATTTAAACATAGTAAGTAGTAAAACGAGGGGTAAAATAACAATAAATTAAGGGAAATACTTAAAAAGGGCAGGTTTAAAGAGTATTATCACAAGAAAGTATATCCGTTCTGTTTATTTATCAAGTATTGTTTGAGGTTACTTTTGAATACATTTATTGTTTTTTTTTTTTTAATTTCTGTAGGCAATCTATTAATTTTTTTAAAACTTTAATAAAAAATTGTATTTTGGGTACTTTTAGTGATGGCTTGCCGTACATGAAAGTCAGATTGGCTTCTTGTATTATAGTTGTGAATTGTGAATTACATTTATTTTTTTCTAACAGATCTGATGCGATGGATTTATGTCATTTTTATTTTATAAATAAATATGCGTCATGTACTGAACATAATTCTGAACTGAAAGCCAATTTATTTCTTTTAACATAGTTGCAATACTCATCCTTCTCTCCTTTATTAACAGAATATAAATAGGCAAAGTAAGGAGCCCAAATATTTTACATGAGCAGGCCTAAGAGGTAAAGGGGCCAATTATTATTGGATAAATTGCTCGAACAAGTTTTTAAACCCTAATCAAAAGGAAGGTAATATAGAATGGTTTTAAAAATCAAGGCTTGTGAAAATCATCACCTGGTTTAACCTAAGTAATGACGATGCTTCACAAAACAAAAAATTCAACGTCCTAATACTACTATCAGCTTTCGGTCTTTCGTTCCAAGCTAAATTATTTCTCGTTTTTGTTACGCTACGAGTTTACCCTTGTGGGCCTCAGTCTCGATAAGGTGGGAATCACCATTTTAGCGTCTCCCGAATTATAGTAGTTTTTTGTCGTTTCTATGACAACCTGTTAAAATGACTCAACAATAGGTGAGTTCAGGCTGCGCACTCCAGAGTGGAGTGGAGTAATTAGGCGTAAACGGAGTGCGCATATGATTTTACTCCTTTTACTCTCGGAGTGCAATGTCAGTTGTCAATGTGACATACCAGTACTTAAAATCTAATCGTACTTATCAGTAACGACCGTATAAATTTCTTCCATATTAACGATATTCACGGGACCAAAAATACTTTTTTTACTAAAGAATCAATCACAATTATCTTATTATCGATTTAAATTACCTTATGCGCACGCCCGATCCACACTCCACTCCATGATCTTCGAACGGTAAAAAAGGAACTTTTATTTTAACTCCTTTCATTCCCGAACGCCTTAGATACTTTAGGAGTGAAAAGAGTACGTAGCCCGAACTCACCTATTAAGTATACAAATAAATCTTCAAATCAGCAAAAATTGATTCATATTGTTTTAGGTTTTTTATTAATCATGAATATAAATGTTTTTTGTGCGATGTTAAGAGGAAGAAACTGTTTTTATTGAACAGTGTACTCAAGAAATGTTTGAATATGTTATTTTCTGGAAAACTTTTAAATATAACCATATAATCATTGTATGTCTATTTTCATTTGTATTTTTTAACCACTTTGCTCAGGATAGTGATTGGCACAGGTGTTACTTGGTAAATTACAATGTTTTTACTTATGGAATATTTTATTTCGTTATCAGATGACGGCCAAAATTTGCAGTGTGCTCTTGGGCCAATAGTGCTGCTTCCTCTCATTAAAAATTAATAACAAAATTTATGATAACAAGTAATGACAAGGCATAAAATTATTTCAATAAATATAATTTTAAGGTACAAATAGGAAACGATAATATTTAATCAGTAAAAAAAATATATTTAGATATTCAGCATATTTTTTTAAGAACATGCTTAATACAGGATGTTTCCATTAATATCTTCCAGTAAATATTACTTGCATATACAATCTTGACATTATTATACTGTCCATTTTCGACGAATTTAGTTTAGTAAACTATTTAATTTTTTTTACAGATAGTAACCAGAGTACCGACGCCACGCTACCATGCTGGCATCGTCTGCGTGGAGAAGAAAATCTACTTCGTAGGCGGTTTTAGCAGCGACGAAATGTTTGATAAAGACACAGCTGCCATAGAATACTATGACATAGACACCGGCAAATGGACTGTGGAAGACAAGTATCCACAAGACATATGGGAACACACTTGCGCCACCTTGTACATTCCAAAGTGCCGGGACGACATGGAAGTCTTGGCCTCGTCGGAAGTGAGAACGTGATTACGTGATTTTTTTATTTTTATAAAGGGTTAAATTAATAGAAATATATTTATTTTGTATTAAATTGCGTTTTATTTCCTACGTAAATCTTTAAAATATTTCCTCTATTTATCCCCGATTAATTTCTAATAGACGTCGCACACTGGGGCAAGAAGCCCTCAAATTTGGCAATAAATAAAAAAATTAAATAGCATATACACTCTACCTCATATTTTTTTCTGATATATTACTGTCCACTACATAATAAAACGAACAAGTGCGATCTTCTGTCTCACGCATTTCATCACCACCCTCAGTGGAAGTTACTTATCTGAGGCGAGTATATATTCATTGTTATTTCGTAGTTTTTAACTTGTTTTTGTGCTGTGTTTAGGCTGTATTTTGATTTTTTATTTTCAAATTGTTGGTTTTCAAGCAAAACACACTAAGTAATTTTTTTAATTTTTGACTTATTTAGATCAGTTGACTGGATTTCTTCCACTCTATAAACTGGTGAAATCCACTGTCCTCTAACAATTGTAACCTTATTTTTAAATTATTTTCATATTCATTAAGTCATTTTAGCATTATTTTGTTCAGGAAAAATACATTAAGTGACTAATGGATTTTTCATCAAATCTGACTTAGTGTGTTTTGCTGGTAAGTCGCGAAATTTATGTGATTTAGATGTTTTTCATTATGCATACAAACTAGAAATGAACTGGCTAGATCTAGCGTCAAATTTTTGGAAATACTAACATTTACTCTCGTGGAAAACGAAGGCATGATGCGGATATTCTATTCCTACATAAGTTGTTAAATGGTTGTAATATTACTCACCAGAAAATTACTATGCCTCGGCCGTAAATTTCTGATTCGGCCGAAAAAGATCAACTCTATACACCTTCGGTACACAAAAGTATCTATATTTTATTTCGTTATTAAAAATATATTTCTCATCTATAAAATTGTTATTAATGATAAAGAATTCATTTAGTTTATTAAAACAAAAATAACCTGAATCGATAACAAATCACTAAAAGTGTTGCTAGAGTTGGGGACGTTTTTATGGAAAATTTTAATGTTACTCTTTTACTATTAAAGCTACAGTTAATTTATGTTAACATTTTATTTAAATGTAAATATATTATTTGAATGAAATTAATGCCCTTGTCAAGGTTTTAAGGCTTCGTCACTTCAACCTTTTCATGCAATTGGATTTTTTTATATTTGAGTTTCAGAAATATTATTTTCTCATGATTTGAAAATAAGTACATGAAATGATTAAAACGGGCCTGCAAAGGCACTTTGTGCGCAATCTCACCAGTATACTCCAGTGAATACAGTTCACTGGTATCTACCTATAAACAATATTAACACTTAACGGTGTAATTATTTGAAACATAATTTTGTTTTATAAATATTGTTTATTACATTTGAATAAAAAATAGCAGAATTTATTTTTTGTAAAATAAAATTTTATGTTTGAATTGCGTTTTTCTTTAAATTTGTCATTGACAAAATATTTACAAAACAATCCATTGGATTCTGATGAAAAAACTATTTGATACGCCCATGGAGATCATAGCTGTCAAAAGTTCATAGATACAGGGGTGCGTTTAGAAATGTAGGGTAAATGCGTCCGGACGTTGTCTAAATTCTAAAAAGCGTTCCTAAATATGGAACGTTTTATCTGGACGAATTCCCCAGCCGTTCCTATTTAAAAGAAAAACGCGTCGGGATGAAGAAATTTTACCCATCGTGTTGTAGGGTAATTTTTACTCGACTTGCGCAGGGGTGCGTTCAGAAATGGAGAGCGTCAAATTTTTAATCGTCCGGACAAAATTCGTCGGAACGTTTATTTTTGTCCGATAAATATGAACGGTAAGTGCAAAGTATTGTCAAATCAAGTTTTTGGTTATGTCTTTTCTGTTATCTGAGATTGTAAGGAATTATCATTTATACAAATTGTATGGATGGAACGATATTTTCAGAAGTGACGCAGCTCAGTGCTACACTTTCGATGCAAAGGAAAAGACCTATTGACCGTGTCAAATCAACAGGCCCACAGGGTTGCCATATTAGAGAAATGTCAAAGAGCTCACAGGGAATTTAATTTTTCTCCAAATTTGTTGGCAATGCTGGCGTGGCGCGAGAATCCGAGAATGAGTTTTATTGTTGTTGTTATGAAAGAAAAAGTGATATAGAAAATTCAAAGAATTTAAAATCCATAGTTTCGCCAGTCTATTTTTTATGTTATTGCTTTATACAGTGTAAATCGAGGTTTAAATACTTTTTAAAAAATGTTCCGACCAGGATCAATAAAAAAAATAGAAGTTACAAATTTTGTGACTTACTCTCATGCTGAGATGTATCTGGGATCAAATTTAAATATGATAATAGGCCCAAATGGAACTGGAAAATCAACTATGGTTGCTGCAATCATATTAGGCCTTGGAGGAACACCAAAAACTGTTGGAAGAGGTAGTAAAGTATCTGAATATGTTAAACATAATTGCGAATTGGCTACCATACATTTATTTTTACAAGATGAAGAGGATAATAAATCCATCAAAGTAACCAGAGAATTTGATATTCATGATAAAACAACATGGAAACTCAATAGCAGGAAAGTTACTACAAGTGATGTTCTTGAATATGTTCGGAAATTCAATATTCAGGTTAACAATCTTTGTCAATTTCTACCACAAGATAGAGTGCAAGAGTTTGCAAAAATGAACAAACAGGATCTTCTGAAAGAGACCCAAAAAGCACTTTGCAGATTTGATCTAATTGAGAAACAAGATGCCCTAATAGGAAGTAGAGAACAATTTAACAAGATGGTAGACTCCATATCAAGTTGCCAGAAAAAAATTCAGGAATGTCATGATTTGAATTCTAGGTTAGAAGGAAGAGTTCAAAGTTTTAATAAAATGAAAGAATATACTGAAAAAATTCAGCATATTGAAAGAAAAATTGCTTGGAGTATGTATGAAGGTATCAGAGGCCAACTTACAGAAGTTAAAAAGGACAGGAATAAAGCTCAAGAAGTATATGAGAAATATAGAAATGAGATGAAGCCAATGGAAAATGGAATAGGTCAATCAAAACGTAAAATAACAGAATTGCAACAAAATAATAACAAAGTAGCGCAATTGATTAAAAATTCTGAAACATCTATAAAAAGGAGTTTAGAAAGTATTGAATCAATAAATGAATCACTTAAAACACTGAATGATGAAATGGAGACTAAATTAGCTGAAATTGAGCAATGGGATATTGATATTGAAAATGCTGCTAACAAGCTAGAAGAATTAAAAAGATCACAAAAAGAAATGAAAACCAATAGTGAAAGTAAGTATAAGTTTTCTAAATTATTTACCAAAATTAAAATACAATGCAGCAAAATTTAAAATCTTTTATATTTTGGGCAAATAGAAAAATTTAGCTTTAAATGGGTAATGTCACAAATAGGGATCAACTAATATTGGTATCCGTATATTTATTTATTTGTATCCAAACAGGCCAACGGCCTTATTACATGGATAAAAGTATCATAATACATAAATATTAATAATAAACAGTAGGTAATTACAACTAATATTACAACTTATTTAGTATTAAAATTAATTAAGAGTAATGTAATAATTAATCAAGAGTAATGTAATAATTAAATACAAGTTTTCGGAACATATTAAATAGTAGTGTCCAGTCTACATCAATACAAGTGTTAATATTATTTGCCAATCGGAGCTTGGTCACAAGAGGTGACCTGGCAGTGGTAAGAACTACAGGAATATTAAACATACATGGATGTCTCATTCTCCTCAGAGGTATGTTAAATCATATTAAGTATAGTAGCTCAGCTGAGTTAATTTTATAGTTAATAATTTTATATAAAAAGTCAACATTATGATATTCCTTCTGGTGTGAAGGAAAGGTATATTAAATTCTTTTCTTAGGTTTGCAGTTCTAACAATATTGTAGTCTGGGTATATATGGAGTTTTTTGAAATAAAGATATCTAAGAAATTTATTTTGTATTTTTTTCAATCTCATATAGATTAGTTGGATGTTCCCCCATCCATACCTCAGCTCCAAATTCAAGTTTTTGTGTAACTAGAGCATAATAAATTTTTTTTATAGATTCTATGTTAGTAAAACTTCTAGTTTGCCTAATTATGAACCCCAGCATACTATTTGGAGCTTTAACTATATTTTTTACATGATTAGAAAAAGATAGAACACAATCATAGGTTATACCTAAATGTTTTACCTCTGAACGTCATTCTATTAATTCTCCATTTATAAGGTAATCGAAAATAACAAGATTTTTTAATCTACTTATTGTCATACTGCTACATTTTTTTTGTATTGAAATTTAATTTATTTTTATAACACCATTCATTTATGTTGTCTAAATCTTTTTGTAAACTCACACAATCCCTAACAGTCTGTATTTTTTTTTAAATTTTAAGATCATTGGTAAATAGAAGACAGTCTGTAAACTTCAGCATAGATGGTAAATCATTGATAAAAATTAAAAAAAGGAGGGGCCCCAAATTGGAGCCCTGTGGCACTCCACTATATGCTATAAATTTTCCAGATGTGTTCCCATTATTCTTAACAATTGAATATCTATTTTCTAGATATCTCTTAAATAGTGTAAGAGTACTATTTGTCAAACCAAATTTACTCAGTTTTAAAAGCAGGACATCATGATTTACCTTATCAAATGCTTTTTTTTTAAATCTGCGAATATTACATCAAGTTGGATTTTGTTTTCAAGTGCTTCATAAGCTGTAGTTACAAAACAAATTTGTACTGACACATTATTTTGAGACAAAACCATGCTTCTGGGATACCAGACTGCTTTCAACATGTTGATATAATCTTGCATATCGTATAATATGTTCATATAATTTAACAGGGGCTGATAAAAGTGATAAAGTTTTCAATTTTATTTCCAGATTTAAATATAGGAGAAACTAGTGCATTTTTCCATAAGTGTGGAAATTCATTTGTTGCAATAGTTAAGTTGAAGATATGAAGTAAAGGTCTTTTTAATCACTCATTACAGGCTTTCAGAACATATGGAGGCATGCCGTCTGGTCCCGCTGATTTTTTTGGTTTAAGTTTTTTAATTGCTTCTTCGTATTCTAAATCCGTTATTAATTTTAAATTTAAAGCATTATTTGTACAATTTTCAGAATCACAAGCTACATTATAAGAAGGTTTATTAGTTGAATATACTGATGCAAAGAATTCTGCGAATGCATTTGCAGTTTCATTAGACTTCATTGTTTTCCCATTAAATAAGTAATGGTTACTAGTGAAATTACTACTCTTTTTATTATTCACATAATTCCAAAATATATTTATATCTGTACCTATCCCATCTTCAATACCATTGATAAATTTTCTTTCTTTAATCAAATTTTTTATTTTCTTCCTCATTTCGTTATATTTATTTTCATAAAAAAAATGATGTACTTCTTAGCCTTCTATATTTTTCTCTATCTTTCAGTAGGTCTTTAATTTCCTTTGAAAACCAAAGTTTATGATTATATGAACCGCGTTTTAAATTGAATTTGGGTATACACTCGTCCAGAATCTCATTCCATTTAATGTAAAATTTGTCTACAGTGACATTCACACTGCTCCAATCTGCATCTCTCACTCTTGTCAGCTAAGTGGGTAAGATCCAGAAGGTAATTAAACTTATAAATATTAAATAAAGACATTGAAAATGTGTGTACGTGCATTATACCTATTATATAAAATATTTTAGGGTTATACTGTCTTTGAATAGATAGATGAGTTACACATTTATTCATAGTTAGTTAAATTCCATCAAAAGACGTATTATTATAAAATCATTGAGGTGCTTACACACTTTTTAAATTTCTATTGAATTTTTACAAACATTTTTAATATTATTATTATTATTATTATTATTTTTATTTACTTTATTTAGCTAGTTTGCTAATATCATAATATACAAATTTAGTAAAAATATACATATACATATATGTCAAAACATAGATAATTTAGATATAATTAAAACTAACTAAAATTCTATAGGTTGTTACTGTTTCTGGAGAAATATCAATTAAGACATCTGTCACTTTGACTTTAAATGTAGTTACATACGTTACTGATTTAATTTTCTCTGGAAGTGCGTTATATTGATTTAGACCTTTAAAAAATAGTGAATTTTGTGTTGCACTCTTAACAACTGTTTCAATATAAAAGTTATTTCTGTTCCACGTTGGATAATTATTCACATTAAAGTGATAATTAATCTTCTCTTTTAGGTACATTGGAAGTAACCCGTTCTTGATTATATAAATAAAAATTAATGCATTCCGTAATAAGAGACTTTTGATTGGCATCAACCTCAAAGTTTCAAGCATTAGATTAATGGAAGTATATTTTGAACAGGATAATATTATTAACATAGCCCTATTCTGTAGTCAGTTCAACTCATTTTGATTTAGTAAAAAGAGTATTGTAGAGCAATAATTAAAGTGAGGTAAAATTATAGTATTATTATAATACATTTAGTCCACTGTGATAAGCCAAATGAACTTCTAAATAGGAAATTTAACTTAAATGCAATAGTGTTGGCATGATCTATGAATCTCATCTGCTTGTCAATCATTACCCCTAAGTATTTGAATTTTTCTACTAACTGTATAAAATTTCCTCCAATTGTTATGTTATATTGTTTATCAACAAACTGTGTATAGTTATAGTTGCTACTTATCTGCATACATTTTGTTTTATTTGTGTTAATTTTCAATAAATTATTGCAACACCATTTATAAACATGTTGCAGTGTTTCATTAACAACTCTTACCAAGTTATCCTTACAAGAAAAATATATTAGGGCATCATCAGCAAACAGGTGAATGTCACATTGACCCTTGAAATCAACAATCTCATTGATATACACTAAAAACAATAGGGGACCCATTATACTTCCCTGAGGAACACCTCTGATATAGTTAATTTTCTCTGACAAAATGTTATTTACTTTTAACTTTTGTTTCCTCTTACTTAGATAATCCACACACCACTCCAATGCTTGCTCTACTATACCCATACTTTTCAATTTTTTTATCAAACGGTTTTGATCAACAGTCTCGAATGTCCTTTGAAGATTTATAAAAACTGCCAATGTTAGATAGTTTTTATCATATAAAACACACCGGATAGCTGTTTCACAGTTATGTTTGCTTCTGACGCCCGATTGTATTCTAGTAATAAGTTTATTTTGTTCTAAAAAATTAACAATTTGTTCATACACGACCTTCTCAATGATTTTTTGATACAACTTAACATACTAATAGGCCTTAAATATGTAGCTTTATTTGCGTTTTTTGTCTTTGGAACAGGCACTACCATAGCAATTTTTAGAGCATTAGGTATTTTTGAAATTTCTAATGACAATTTATCAAATTTAAAAGTGATTCTGAGAGGTTGGGAAAACAGTTTTTTAAAATATTAATGTTAATGTCATCTGTGCTATTTTTATTTTTCATTGCAAAAAGAATGTTTCTAAAATTTAATAATCTGGTATTGTATGATCAGTCATACTAGCAATCGATTGGATACTGTCTATGTAAAATTTATTAAGAGCATTTGGCATGTCAAAAATATTTTTTATGATATCATTATTTTCTAGTTCAATTAAGTTATTCGACTTATTATTTTTTGAAATCAGACATTCAAGATATTTCCACATTTCCTTTGAATTTCCCCAACTTTCGTAAATATTTTTCTCTATGTGTTTACTTTTTTCTGTTCTAATTACGTTAACAGCCCTATTTCTATGCATTTTGTATTCATTCCAATTATTTTTTGTTTTTTCTTGTGAATAATTTTTATATGCAAGGTCTCTGTACCTTGTAGCAGCTTTTACATTTTCATTCCACCATTTTTTGTATTTAGGAAATATTTTTATTTGTTTTTTTTTGGCGCTACAGAATCTAATACGTTTAAAATATTTCTTACAAAATTATCATATTTTTGCATTAATTTCATAAATATGATAGTTCCATGCTAATGTTGAAAGTTTGTTATTAATTAAATCAAAATTTAAGTCCTTACCTCTGCTTTCAATTTCAAAAACAGATCGCCCATCACTATTTAATAGCACATTTGTTAAAAGCATAAAATGATCTGAAATTCTTGGTGTTTTGATAACCTCAGCTGAAACCGAGTCATTATTTTATAACTAAATCTATAAGTGTACCTCCACCACTTCTATTTGGTCTTGTGCATTCTGTAACAATATTTTTTAATCTAGTATCAATCAAAATAGCACTTAATTTCGCACTGGTTTTTTTATTTAACAGATCAATATTAAAATCTCCAGAAACAATAACTATTTGAGAATTATCACATAAATTTTCTTCAGCCCAAGTGTTAAAACAATTTAAAAAATGTATACAGCTACTGCTAGGTGACCTATATAAATGTAATGTGAGCCATTTCATTATTCAGTCATGCTCTAATCCTCTGTCTTATTTGGCCTTTGAGGCTCAACTTGTCAGATTATCATACATAATTAAACTCCTTAAGACCAAACATGTGACGACTATGGCGGAGGAGCATTCGATGACTATTCGAGAAAGAACGGGATAATGTTTCTAGTGTATTGGTGAGAATAGGTGAACTTTCTAGCACCTTCGCCAAACTTTTAAATTTGTATATAAATATTGGTGGAGGACCAAGCGGGGATTAATTAGTAGATAGACACGACGCCGTAGGCGGAGTGTTCAATCGTCTGACTGTGATAAGGACAATCCACTCGAGTTGTACAGTATATTTTTTCTACGACCCACTAACGAAAATTTACAAATATAAGAATATTTTAGGTTATTAAGACAAAATAAATAATTTTAAAATAATTTATGACTTTTAATAATTTTTATAATAAAATAAACGAAAAAAGAAAAAAGTTCATTTCATTTTTCCCCTTCCGAGAATCGAACTCCAATCTTTCGTTTGGAAGGCAAGAACGCTAACCACAGGACCACCTATTCTTTTATATTTTTTGCTTTAATACACATAATTAAATTGACTCCATATAGTTAAATTAACAAATTATAATTATAGACGAAATAAAAACAGAAATGCTATTATTTATCGATTCTACACATAAATAACCCATTTTAATATATGTTTAATCTCAATAACTAAAAAATAATAGCAGTGTTCTCACTATCTAGAATGGATATGAAATATATTCGTTCAGTTGAAGACAATAGCATACTTTTTCGTTTTGTAATCTGAGCGTAGAAAAGCTAATATCCATGTGGGTCTAGAAAAAATATTTTTTGTTTAAAAAAAAGAGAGAATAGTAAACTTATAGGATGAATACCAGAATCTCAAAAGAATAAAAAAGATGAAAAATTACCCTTATATCTACTTTTAGGTCTTAAATTTGGGCACAATTTATACCAAAATATTCAAATTTGCAAAATTTGTGACAGCCTTTAGAGTGGACGAAGTGGTATTGCTTTTTTAGTGGCATACATCTCTATATTATTCAACCTCTTTTATGTGTACTAATTCTAAAGGTAATTCTACTTCAAAATAAACTCAGATATACTCATTTTTATTTCAGGTGAACAATTAAGACAGACTCTTTTCACTGAAATGAATAATCTCTCAAAATTGAAAAATAAACTTCAAGATAAAAAGGAAGAAATATTACAGCGAAAGCAAGATGATTCTCTAAACAAACACGGCCTCGAAAACGAATTACAAAGACTTGAAAATGTGAAACAAACCCGCCTGCAGTATCTTCAGAGAACGAATCCGCAAGCCTATGAGGCTGTCATTTGGGTTCGAAGTAATAAACATCTTTTCAAAGGAGAAGTTTATGAACCAATTATGCTTGAATTAAATATTTTAGAAACTAAGCATGCTAAGTATGTTGAAAATGTCATTCCATTCAGAGACAGACTAGCTTTTACTTGTACCTGCAGAGAAGATATGAATATGTTAATTAAGACTTTGAGAGGAGAAAAGAAATTGGGTATTAACGTTGTCCATTCAAGTAATTCTGAAGGCTCTTCCCAATTCAGGCCTAACGTAGCCATTGAAAGTTTAAGAAAATACGGTTTCTATACATATATGAATAATCTGTTTACAGCTCCAGTACCTATAATGAATTATCTTTGTCGCACATACCAGTTGCACAATATTCCATTGGGCGATGACAAAACTGATCAATTTTATCAAGAAGTACCTAAACAAATTTCATTATTTTTTAGTACAAAATACAGATTTAGTGTCAGTATTTCCAAATATTCTGGCCAAAAAAGCGTTAGGCAGGTTGAAGTAAACTCAGATGGAAGTTTATCGTTCGCGCTCGATTTTGTAAGAATAAACCAATTAAAAGGGCAAACAGCTGACATTCATAAAAGAATAACGAATTATGACACCCAAAATCAGACCATAGATGAACAGCTTGGTGCTCTAGAAAATAAAATTTTCGAAAAACGTTCCAAATTGAAAGAGATTGTACAACAAGAGCACAACGCTCAGGCGCTAGCAAGGAAAGTAGAAAGTTTGCAAAATAAGTTGAGCGAAATGAAAAAGAAGAAAAGCGTTAATGATATCCGAATGGAGTATAAGAGAAGGGGAAAGCAACTTATAAAGTCAATTCCAGATAAATATAATGCAATAAAGAGAGAGATTTCTAAACTTATAGAACAAGAAACTAATAGTGTGATTCATTCTAGAAAAATTGAAGAGGTATGTAAGATTTTTTGTTTATTATTTATAATAAGGTAACTGCACCAATAATTGAAGACCTTTTTACAAAAACGACACATGTCCAATATCAGCTTTTTTTTCAGGAAACCCAAAAAATATGCCAGTCCTAATAAACCTTATAAAACGTTCTAGATTTGACAGTGAATATATCTGTTAGTTTTTTTAAGAAATCACCATTTGTGCGGATAAATACAACAGTTGGTCACTAATTATTACAGTTAACTTAATTTGGGCATTTTTGAGCGTGTGTTGTTTTTGAAAGAAAGCCTTCAGTTGATACTATACTGGATTCAATATAAAATCCAATGCACGTCATCGATGATGCGTTTAATTTTAGACTGCCACAATTACGCATATTTGTCAAATTACCAAAATTTAGTAGGTATAAATTTAGCACGAGAAGTTTAAAACAGCCAAAGAAAGGGTTTGGCTTAGATTAAAGATGACAAACAAACAAAATTTTATTTAGACTTAATTCAATTTGCCATAAAAAGTAATGTGACGGCCCACCCCCGGCACCCCCTATTTTGTGATCGTTATTTTACTCTCTGAGATGTTATTATTTACCTCACAAGTTTATTTTACTTTAAATTCTATACTTACTGTAATTGGTCTTTTTTCCTCTAGTAGTAAAAGTGATCGTCTAGTTAATTAATTATTAATTTATATACCCACGTTGTGATAATGTTAATTAAGGTAAATTGATCAATAAAACATACAAATTCATATTTAAACACTTTTATTTTTTCATACTTTAAATGTGATGCAATAATTAGCAAAGTATATTACAATTGTTACTATTTACTGAGATCTCACTTGAGTCCCGTTCAAACGCAGACCATATTCATTTGCTATCAATACATATTTTATTTAGGTTGATGACCAACGGAGTTAACGAACAGCGCCAATTCGCCAGTTGGTTAACTGCTGTGTTGATGTTGATTTGATTCTATTCTAGATGCACACAGGTTGTACCCTCTTAGGTAAATATTTCGACGAGTATAGAGGTGATGACCAACGGAAGTAACGAACAGCGCCAATTCGCCAATTGGTTACTTTACTATGTTGATTTCACATATACTTTGTTTCAAACCTTGTAGGATGGGTGGCTTAGTGTATAGATGTCCCCCCCCTTGAGCTAACGAACAGCGTATTCACCAGTTTACCATCTTGGTTTGTACAATTTATCCAAGATAGCACATCCCCGTATATTTCTGAATATTGATTTTTATAATTTCTATTCAAATGACTCAATATAATCCTGTATATTTCTTAATATTGATTTTTTTAATTTCTATTGAAATTACTTAATACAACCCTGTATATTTCTTAATATTGATTTTTTATAATTTCTATTGAAATACTCAAAATGCACCCATCGAAAACAGATGTTATCCTAACTGTCTTTCGGGGTGTATGACCTGAAGACCATGTGGTTTGTTTACATTGATAATATTTTAAAGAAAATGTCAGGCCGTACGTTTAAACGAGACCCCGGTGGCATCTCAAAGAAAGTTATATAAATCTTTTGACACACCATTGAAAATACAGACATTAGATTATGTACTAATTTCATCTAGCGTTGTGACGGCGTCTATTTAGGTACGTCGCAGCGTTGAGCGTCGCCTTGTGTCGAGGCCCCTAGTGTCGTGGTGGAAAGGAAGGTACTTAATACGGTACTGCATTGAGAAAGACTCGGTAGACATATTTAGGTGGTGCGAGACGTGACGAAGGGTGTCGACAAGGATATTATGAAGCAAATATTTAGGGGCGGCAAGTGTCGAGAAGTAGAGCGCTGGGACGTTGGGCGTCGGAATGAATGTAAGGTAGGAAATTCTTAGATGGTGCGGAATGTGACAGCGTTCGAGACGTAGGGAGTAGGACGGCAGGACGTTGGGCGTCGAGACGTTGACATCTTCGGGGGTTAGGAGGTATTGTAGTATAGACGTCGTTTAGGAAAGGTACTGACTACTGAACTTGAAATATAACTGGATACAAATAATAAATGAATGCTTGCACATCAAATATTAAAAAAATGAATGAACCCGAGCTACTTTGTGTCAGACTTCTTATACTAAGTTTAATGGCTTTTTGTGTGTCTTAGTTCCCAGAGAAATACGAATGTGGGTGCAAAGGGGGTGGCTGATTTATAACTTGTCTTGAAAGCTTTGTGTATCCAAATATTGTCGAAATCGGTCTTAACATCGAAACTAGAAAGATAAGTGAGTTAAGTGTTTTAATTATAATTACTTCATGAAAAGAAATATGTTTTCTTGAGCTGGTTCCCAGACACGTGCATGAAATTTGGATCTTTTACGGACGTGGTTATAGATATTATTTATTAGATGTCGTAAATAAAATTTAATTATCTGGGAGATTTAAATGAAGGATTTTGAATTTAATAAGAATGCAATATTATATTTAATAAATGGAATTAATAAATTATTAAGGTACCTGGGTGCAGTAGGTTACAGTAATGATATTCAATTAGTTTATAAATATCTATTTTTACTTTTCTGTCTGTATACAGATAAGGAAAGTATAGGAATCATGATTTTATTGACCTCAAGTTTCTTACGGATTTGGCTATTTTTACGATGATGTCTATGTGTATGTGTGTGTACATACAGAGAAAAACATCAAATTCTAAACTTAAGCCTTAATCCATCTTGTGGTGAGTAAATTAGATTTTGGTCATAGTCGGAACATCTGAGGAGGAAATGTAGTCGTTTTTTCTACTTTATGGAAAAATATCTGTTATTTACTCTTGGAGAAGAAAATTATTTAAATAAAAGTTGGTTGTAATATTATTCTCTCTATTTGTCCTATTCATAATTTTCCTAAAATTGTCCGTATTCGAGAAAGGAACACGCACTTTTCTTATGCAAAAGAGAGGACCGTCAAAATATCTGAATTTTTGATGTTACATAACTTGATGCCCCTATCAAAAGTGTCCATCGGTCCAATCCTATCCTCAGGCTAGATTTTGTGATACAGGGTATTGAAGTTAGAAATCCCCAATTCTTTAAAATGAACACCAAAAATCAACCTTAAATATTTATGAAAATTATTCGCGGTTGAATAGGTAAGATGAAAAATCAACAACAAAATGTTGAAATTGTTGCCAAAGAATAGAAAATAATTGTCTTGTAAGTTGCAACTTGTTCATCAAAAATATCTTTTAAGTCCACATACAGGGTCATACATTATGCCATTACAAAAAAGTTAATTTTACTGTATGTCTAAGTAGGATCTAGCGATATTAATCGTGATTGGATTACATATTTATTTTGCTTGAAAATTGCTATAAGTGCCTCTTTATATTGTATATTTAAATCCGAGTGGGAGATCCTTTCAGTGCCACCCATGAGGTGAAGCTCCAATTCAAGTTCAAAAATTACCGAAAAAAATTAATTCTGGCTAGTGCGGAAAAATTGTGTCTTAGGTATTTAAACCTTATATAAAATTATTGAAAAAATTAAATATTTAGCTGGGCCTCTGGGATAAGAAAATTTAAAAGAAAATTAGCTTAGTGCGGCTCTTCGCTTGATTCAAAATTCAAAGGATTTATGGCAGCTACAAGTTAATAAGACCTGTTTTGAATGTTAGATCAACCCAGAACTTACCACGAGGAGGTGGCCGCACCTCAACTTTCACCTAGAATAGATCTTAAAATGTAAAAATTAGGCTCTTCTCCAAACTCGTCGATTTCTAAAACATTATTTTCCTCTCTTTGTAATTTGTCTTAAATAAATATGTATCAAGTCTTTTAGAAAATTGCCCTAAACTAATTAACCTAGAATATTTTCTCTCTTTCTGCTTTTTGTAATTGGGTTACGTCGGAGCTTTATTCCTATTAAATGAATGGACTGTACCTACTCTAGTAATGCATTACATTTTTCAAATTCAATATCGGGATTGAGTGAAAACATGTTTGTTTTGATTGGCGTATGTTGGAATAAAAGATGATGGTCATTGGTTGTTGTATTATAGTATTTATTTATTTATTATACGGGATAACCCCATTAAAGAAATTTATACAATTTACAATCTTAATTAATTAAGGTGAATTTAAATATACGTTAAATATAAGTTAAGGAACATGTATCACATTTTTACAATTGGTTTTAAATTTGGCTAATCCCACATTTAAAAATATCTAAATTAAGATTATTCAACATAGACAAATATCTGTCAATAGGACTGTTGACGCCATAGCTCGTTCTATGAAACGGTATATTAAATGTTAATGAATATCTCAGTCCAAGGTAATAAGGAACATTTAGGCTAATCCCGCTCAAAAGAGAAGGACAGTCTATAATTCCATTTAAAATTTTGAATAAAAATACTAAGCCAAATATGTCTCTTCTTTCCCTTAAAGGAGGCAAATTTAATTGACTTTCTATAGCACTATAATCATGATCTGAAATCCTGACATTACTTTTAACTGCACATACTCTCAAAAATTTGTGTTGTACCCTTTCCAAAGTATCAGAATGAATTTGAAAAAATGGTGACCACACAATTGAGCCATACTCAAGCACGGATCTAACTAACGAGCAGTAGACCATTCTGGTGGCATCAGTGGAGAAGTACTTACAATTTCTTATAACAAATCCTAACATTTTTTATCCTTTAATAGAGATTGAGTTTATATGTTCAACAAATGCTAGTTTTTCATCAAAAATTACACCCATATCTTTTATTGTTGATTTGTATTCATGTTGGTGATCATTAATAAAATAGTTTGTTGCTATCCTAACAGCTTTACGGGAAAAACTTATAAAGCAACATTTATTTTCGTTTAAGTACAATTTGTTTTTATTACACCACTCTACTAAGCGATTCAAATCCTCCTGAAGAAGTCTTGATCACAAATGTTCTCTACTGTTCTCCAAAACTTGAGATCGTCAGCAAACTTAGCACATTGGCTGTACACAAAACAACCAACAATATCATTTACAAAAATGTTAAAAAGAAGAGATGAGCTATGGCCCCCTTGAGGTACACCAGATGTAACATTAATTGTATCTGAGTAGTAACAACCAAATTTTTACCCTTTGAATACGATCAGTCAATGAGCTTTCCTACCACAAAACAAAGCCTAAGTTGAAGCCAACTGAAAGCAACTTATTTAACAAAATATTGTGATCTACTCGATCGAAGGCTTTTGAAAAGTCTGTGTAGATCGAGTCGGTTTGTTTTTTGTCTTCCATGTTTTGAAGAGCATTTAATTGATAGGTTGTTAAGTTTGAAACAGTTTATCTGTTCTGGGAAAATCATGTTGTTCCTGACAGATTAAGCCTTTACATTGCCAAGTCAGTTGTTTGCTAACTAGGAACAATATTGCTTACTTTCCATATCTCAGGAAAAATAGAACATTCCAACGATTTGTTAAATAGCAAAAATAAGGGTAAAACAATCGTGCAAACACATTTCTTTAATAAAAAGTTAGGAACACCATCTGGACCTGATATTAACTTATTTGGAATATTTAAAATTTCATTGAAGATGTCAGATTTTGATATTACATTACTCCTTATATTGTTGCTTAGGCTCTCGTCTCTAGTTACATCATCAGTATTAACACTAATAGTGTATACAGTTTGAAAGAAGTCCCTAAATAGATTTGCAATATCTTGGCCACTTACAGCCTCTTGATTGCCATAGAACATGGAACTGGGCAAATTGTGGTTAGAGCGTTTGTCGTTTATAAACTTCCAGAAAGATTTAGGATCTTCTATCAATTTCGCATCTAGACCCCTAATATAATTATTAAAACAAATGTCAGAGAGCCTCTTACATTCTGAACGCAACTGAGAAAAGCTAACATAACTTTCATGTGACTGCTCTCTTTTATACTCAGAATGTATTAAATAAACAAATAAAATCGATGATGTGCATTTGACGTTATAGTATAGATAACAAACGTATATTAAAGTTTCAATGAAAGTTAATTTGTAGGTTCGCAAAAACCTAGCATTACTTGAGAACGTAATAAAAGAAAAAAGGGTACAGTGTCAGGATGCGGAAGAAACATTAAACCGAGTAAAAGATAGGTATAATGAAATGATGGAAGAAGCAAAAAGTTTGCTTCAAAAAGCAAAGAGTCTGTCCAAGGGATTTACGCCAGCCGACGAAGATTTTGAACAATTTCGAGAAGAATACCAAGCATTACCTTCAGAAGTGGATGAATTGGACGAGAGAAGGCGCCAATTACAGTCTCGCGTAGCGTGTCTGAATGTTGCGGACGATGGAGAAATGCAAGAGTATGAAGATAGGCTCAAACAGATAGATAAATTGACCAAAGATCTAGACAGACACAATACCAATTTAAACAAAGCCACAATGAAAATTACGAAATTGGAGGACGAGTGGTTAGGCCCTCTTAAGGAACTTCTAGCCGAGATCAGTTTGAAATTTGCTAGCGCTTTCGAAAAACTCGGTTGCGCCGGCGAAGTATCTATTTGTACGGGAGAAAATGATAGAGATTTTTCACAGTACGGCATCAGTATTAAGGTAACCTATAGAAGCGGAGAGCCGTTACAAGAATTGAATTCGACTATTCAGAGCGGAGGAGAAAGAGCGGTCGCGACGGCTGCGTACATGCTGTCCTTGCAGAAATTGACGCCTGTACCGTTTAGATGCGTGGATGAAATTAATCAAGGTAATGTTTTATATTTTCGTTTCATTCCTAATTTTAATTTGGAAATTCTCACTTCCTTATTAGAAGCGAAATTAACTTTTTAACAAGAACTTCAGAATCTCATGTCAAACTGTTGACCGCAGTTATGATCGCCACCATGTTAGGTCAAATTTAGGTAGATATGATTATATCAATTTTTTTTCTTTATTTATTTAATAATGATATAATCTACAATTTGCAATTTACAATATTTCTACAATTATAATATAGTTACCTAGATGCAAGCATCTGTATGTGCAACACAAATAAAATTAAATTGCCTAATTAAAAGTTTTAAAATGATTTTTTTATTAGCAGTGGAAACTTATTTAAGTCAGCATCACATGCAAAGCATTATTAATTTTATAAAAAAGTTATTCATCATAAAAAGTTCTACCTAGTCTAAAATCGAAAATACAACCATCAGATATTGCATGTTTTTACTCATCTGCGATGTTTTCGAAAAATTTGAATTTCATACAAGAATAAATGTTGCTCATATTAATTCTGCCGCCATAAGCAAAACCTCAGTAACTAGGCAAACTATGGAATATAAATATTTGCAACAAAAGAATTTCATTAATGTCAGCAGGGGCGGCTACTCTTTAAGGCCGCATGGCTGCGCGCTCCTCAAAAATACCAGAAAATAAAATACTCATTAAAAATATTATTTATTTATTTTATAATTTTTCATATCGTCTATGAGTGTTATTTAATATGTCGCATCTAAATCCTTCATATTATAAAAATTTATGAGCTCTTTGACTGGACTATGGACGGCTATTGAGCCCATATGTATGTCAGGTTGCGACCTATTTTGTATAATTTGCATTTAAATAGATTATTATATTTGTTTCGGGAATACTGTGTTGCTTTCATCCCCTTTTATAAAGACGTTTTAGGTTCTGAAATCCAGAGTAGAACCCTTATACAGTTAAGGGATACAAAGCCAAGTTTATAGTAATTGGTGCCCTTATACTATTTAGGTCCGAATATATATATTTTGTTGCTTACCCCTGGGGACACAGCTAGTCCGATTTGGATTATTAATCCCGTATAGTAGATCACATACATTTGTGGCGATCCTGTAACTACTTGCATAGTTACGCCTTATATTCAGAGAGCATATAAATTGTAACACATAGAACATGTATATCATGACAATACTTTTTGGCATAAATACAAAATTACATTAAATTTTGCAAATTAAAAAACTATTTTTTTCATTGTCATAGGGTCCCGTAGCGTAGATCCAGCTGCAGCTCCACAACGATACCCTATGTACCGAATCCGCAAACACTAATTTTTGCTTTCCAATTTTTGGCATTTCTAACACACTTTCTTGCGTGTTTTTTTTTTCTACAGGGAGGACAAGAGACCTCCCTTTTATGAATTTTCACTAAAAAATTCTTATTATTTTGTTATTGTATACTAAAAAACAGTAATTAAATGTGCACGTGTTGTTACAAATCGACTACAGCTACCATACGTGTTATTGGCTGAAAGTGACTTTGCTACTTTTGTTATGACAAATTTGGAGATTGCTGTTTCTGATACAAACTTACAACTTTGCTGAATGGTTTTAACGGCTTATTTCTGTTTTTGTTGCAAAATAAGATCTGATATTTTAATAAACAAACATTCCAAACCGGTACGAGACAAAAAGCTTCAATCGGAAAATTTGGAGTTTGCTGCTTTTGATATTAGACCCCTGGATATAGGTTTAATTAATTAATTATTTAAAGTGTGGAGTTCAAATTAAACATTGTTTTTTTTTATAAAATGTTTCTTGAGATCTTCGAATTTTGTAACAACGTGGCAACGTCTACTTTCATGAGTTTAAGATGTGTATTGGAAATTTCCTTGCACTGACTATATACAGGTTTTTGTTATTTTATCAATGTTTGTCAGCATTTAGACGAATTAGCATTTATTTTGAGGCAAATTAAAAAAATTTAAATATTGAAACTGTTGAATTCGAATATTGATGACTAATATGACAAATATTGTACGTCAATTTTTGTCGAAAATTGGATATATCCTTCGAGGTGAAATTTTTATGGTTTCCAAATATTTTACATTCATTTGAAATGGTTTACCAGCTCTTTACAGCCATCCCCCAACTTTTAAGTCAATTTTACTCAAAACGACATTTTTGGACTTTCATTATTTGTCCTCTTAGCTGTTGATATATTCTACACTAGATTGGATGTCATTATTGTGAACTTAGACAATCACACCTACTATTATCGTACCAACTCAAATTTGATCTAGCATGGCGACATGGTAAAAACGGTCATATTTCTGTATAGCCACTGTACGTAAAAGCTCGTGCTTTTTACTCACTAGAGGGTAAAATTTTAAAATAAATAATGGCTTGTTAGCCTCGAGAGTAATCATTATTGATCGTTGAGCCAAAGAATAATAGAAAAATCATATATTTGTATTTTAGGTATGGATGCAACTAACGAAAGAAGAATTTTTGAATTAGTGGTAGAGAGTACTTGCCAGGATTCAACGTCACAGTACATTTTGATAACGCCAAAATTAATACCACATTTAGATTATTCTCCGAATATGTTAATCCATATTGTACACAATGGACCATTTGTTGCCCAAGACAAAAAATGGGGCACTTCAAAATTATGTAACCCACACAATACCCAAATTCATTGATCGTTCATTATATTATAAGTTTAAATGCATTTGTTAAAAACGTTACGAAAAAAAAATTAAGATTTACTGATTTTTTTTATGTTACCTATCATTTTCCATTCCGATTTTCTAGCTATATATTTAGATGCATAACTTCACATTTTTTAATCGTTATCTCAAATAGCATTGTATTTGGTTTAACTCTCAGTTAAATTTTATTGGGCCAGGTATATAGAGTAGATCTGTAAATAATTATAATAAAAGTACAAATTGGTATTTTGGTCCAATTCGATGCCTTTTCATTTGCTTCCGGGATATCTGGCATGCACTTTTATGGGTTTTTTAATCGATTTTTTGTCCAGTCTTCATTCAGAGGATATTTGTGCCAAACGCGAGAGTACTACTCTAGCAATTGTAGTTTACCCCCTAGAGCGGCATGTCTTGTTGAGTAAATAAATTTATCTAGAGTAGAGTTTAAATATATACCAAAGAGTATTATTTTTATCATGTACATTTGTGTCTTTTTAACTTAATGAGTTTTATCATACTTGTATTATTGTTTTACATTTAGTGATGTTGACTGTAATAAAACTCATTTATAAAAACACGATAAAACTTCTTCCGATTACTTTGTTTTTTTATTTATAACTGATAGTCTCGAGAGTCTGTGACAAAAAAGTGAAAGAGTTTTACCAAGGTTCGAATTTTTATTATTTATAGTTTTTACGACAATAAATATAAAAATGGCAATCACACCTCAATCTAATAAGACTTGACCTGTCAGCAGCTGCCAAAAAAACCATCTCATACAATTTTGACTATTTATAGTTTTTATGTTAAGAAGGTCCTTTCGCCACCAATGTTAAATAAAAAATATTAAATTATGACTAAAATTTATTTTTTTTCTAATAGTTGAAGTCCTTATTTATCTAATAGTTGAAGTCCTTATTTATCTAATAGTGAACTTTTAACTATACCTTACCGTGCAAATTTTTGAGAATTTTTTTTTTAAAAATGTGAGTATTTGTAGTGTCTTACGAGAAAGTAAAACCTCAACAACAATTCTCGAATTATACTATTATTTATTGATTAGATGGAGTAGAAAAAAAAACTAAAAATAAGGTTTTTGAAATATTTAGGTTTTGTTTTTTACAATAAAATATATAGGTTACCGTGGATTTTATTGAGAAATTAATATTAAAAAAAAATTTCTAGTAACCTAGTTGAAAATGTTTTGTGATTTTTTAATATTAATTTCTCAATAAATTCCACGGTAACCTATATATTTTATTGTAAGAAACAAAACCTAAATATTTCAAAAACCTTATTTTTAGTTTTTTTCTACTCCATCTAATCAATAAATAATAGTATACTTAATTATAATTCGAAAATTGTTGTTGAAGTCTTACTTTCTCGTAAGACACTGTACAAATACTCACATATTTAAAAAAAATTTTCTCAAAAATTTGCACTGTAAGGTTAGTTAAAAGTTCACTATTGAATAAATAAGAATTTCAACTATTAGAAAAAAATTAATTTTTGTCATAATCTAATATTTTTTATTTAACATTGGTGGCGAAAGGACCTCCTTAATAAATATTAAAAAAATTAGTCGGACTGTACAATAACAGGACCGGCCGCGTTAGCATCACTACTAACATGCAGGAGTGCGTTTAGAAACCTCGCACGGCGCGTCTGACCGCATACATTAGAATAGGGTCCAGACGCGCCGTGCATGGTTTCTAAACGCACTCCTGTAATAATTAGGTATAAGTAGTTTACCAACGCTAAAACTTATTATGCCAATCTAATAGAATGTCACAAGTCAGGAGCCGTCGGAAAATCGAGAGTACGCGAATGCCAATTGTTCCAAAATAAAGAATTTTGAAACATACAAAAGACGGTCCTGTGCTCACAAAAGCCAGGTGTTAATTTATAACGGCCATTTGCAGGCGGACGTGACAAAAGCCATGTATCTCGCGCGAAGAACTGGTCGAAGTGACGTAATCATATGTCCATCTCTTTCATAAAAAAATAAAAAGCCGACAGAGCGATTCGAGCTTCCTAACATTACGGATCGTCTCTCACATACACATAATGAAAAATTATTTGAGCAACGATGTTGTAAAGTCCTAGTACTTATGTAAGCAGTAGTTAGTAGTAAAAAACAAATGTAAATATGTACAAAGTTTACGTGTAGCGTTTTGTGCACAATAAAGTGTTCTTTTACGAAATTGTTGAGCTTTCATTTCACATGGAGATGGTTGCAGCCAGCGGCTTCAGGAGACAGTCCATTTTGGTAAGCGTGCCTTAGGGCCGTATTTAATATTTATGGGGATTCAACTCATGGAAATCCTTCACCACTAACTTTCTTGTTATAAAATACGGACCGGCAAAAAAAATGGGTACCCTACAATTTTGACAGTTAGGTATCTAATCATTTTTGAAATTTTCCTCCGAATTATGATAATTTATTGCAGTGAATTTTGTGTTTTTTAAATATATTCAAAGCACTTATCGATATTTTCCCTTTATTCATCGCCTTTTTACTTTCATGTCTGTATACAGGCAAGGAAAGTATAGGAATCATGATTTTTTTCAACCTTGAGTTTTCGACGAATTTTTACGTTTTGGGGTTCCCTGAATTCGTTTTGACTATTTTTGCAATGATGTCTGTATATTCGATAACTCATGCTAGGCTATTGATTGTGTCTTAAAAAAGGGGACAATTAGGCATTCTAACGACCTGTCTAAATGACTACCAGTGGTGACTGACAGTTTAGATATAGATATGGCAACCCTGTTGTCATTAACAGGGTCAAAGATACATATATAGATTGCTCAAAGCTAGTCGTTTGCGAGCGGCCATATTGCCTGACAAACATTTATTATTTTGAATCGGTTTAGGAAAAATGTGTTTTAAAACCAATTTTCAGCCTTTAGATATATAAAAAATAATAATTGCTTACATTTTTACTTCAAGGCTTATGTTTATTTTGAAAAATATGGATGATCAATCTATATGTAACTATCTATTTCATTGACCTACAGATTTGCCATATCATAACCTGTCAAAACCCACTGGTAGCCATTCAGTTTGGAATGCCTAATAAAGAACTATCACCTTGTGGTTTTTTATCACATGAATCATTCAAATTATTCGGATATTTTTGCTCACTCACGAATATTTTAAGATTATTCGCGAGTTCGTAAAAATTACCGGAAATAGTTTAGGCACTAATGATATTATGTATATTAAGTAAATAGGTATACTTACATTTTTTTAGCTGAAGTAATAAAAATATAAAATAAACAAATCTTTTTACTTGTTTTATAAATCCATATACTTTTATTAAAACCAAAATATATATTTTTTAATAACGAATTCTATTAATGATACTGTTAATATACGCAATATCGCCATTTAGTTAGCGCTGCTGTCACCTCCTAACAGGGGCGGCTACTCTTTAAGGCCACACGCCCCTCAAAAATACCAGAGATACCAGATAATAAAATACTAATTAAAAATATTTGTTTATTTTATAATTTGTTATCGCCTCGACACATGCTATGCGTGTTATTTATTTTCTCCCCTCCAAATCCTTCCTATAATAACAATTTATGAGCTCTTTGACTGGTCTATAGATGGCCGCAGTAAGTTTGAGGCCCACGTCTCCATGGAAACGAGTGGGACACGCACTGACGAGCACAGATCAATTACTTTTAGAATGGAAACTGCAATGTTAAAATTCGAGACAGTTTTGTAACACCCGGTGAGCGTTTAATTTAAGACCTTCCAGACTACAAAAAATCATAAGTGTTACATATGGTTGAACTCGTATTGAATAGGAGATTCTAATAATGACTAAATATACAGGGTGATGAATTTGAAAAACCAAAGTGACTAATAATTTAAGAGAAACGGCAAATATGGCAACATTGCAAATATCAAATCTGGAATCACCGTATCCCAAAATAGGTGTACCCCAAATTTTGTACAATTAGGACTAGTAATTTACGAGATAATTGACCGTTTCCAGACTTTTGGGCCACTCTGTATATTTATGTCAAAGACTGGATGCGGAGAAAGAACTAGATTTATTACAGGTGCATTGCCATCAGCATTTACTGAGGCCCCAGAAGAAGATGAATCTAAAAGGTAAAGAACCCTGCACTTTTCTTGTGGGTTAATCGTTCAAAATTTTTAATTTTTCAGTGATGATCTGAACCATGAAGCCTCTGTTGCAGAAAAAGAAAATGCAGAATTAGAAAACATGTAAGTAACTAAGTACTTTTTAATACAACATAAATTTTACTTCAAAATAATTACCTATTACTACCTATATTTTTTATAAACCACAAAAATTGACAATTATTTTTTATTAAATGTACCTATGTTCTTTAATTAAGTAGACTAATAGTCGTTAAGAAATAAGCAAAACCTAATGTGAGTTTACCAAGAAAAAAAGTCTTTTTAAGCTGTTTTTATTTACACTCCTAGTCATAAGAAATAATCGAAGCTTAAGACAATTTTCCAATAAAAATGAAGGAAGCTTCACTTAGTTGTTAACGACTAGTAGTGCAAATGTACCTAAGTACCTTAGTATTAGCTTAATTTCTATTTGTAGTATATCGTTTAGTAATCTATTGAACATTGGTCATGAACAATATTTTTATATTTAATAAATTATTGGAAAAAGTTATTGTATTGTAATTCTCGTACACGTGTGTTAAGAGATATCATAAATATTTGTATAATATACCTATTTATTTATATTTTTGATTTTTAACTATAAGCTTTTTATCTTTTTTATTGCCTATTATTTCAACCTTCATTTTTCCGTTATACACTTTCTGATGTTTGAATTAAAACAAAAATAATGTTTCTAATACATAATAATAAAATTAATAATAATTATTATTTACTACTACTAGATAGGTACCTCTACTTAAATAATGCAAGTTTATAAAATATGTGCATAATTTAAAGAATTTTGAAGGTATGTATCAAATTTATTATTTATATTAATTGCAAAACCCGTAAAAATGATGCGACACTGCTAATAGTGTCTAGGCATTTCCCCTCATAACGTAAACAAACCATATTGAATGCGGACTCTATGAAATATATATGCTCGAAAGTTCCGAGAGGTTTATTAACTATGGAAGATTAATAAATTTATTTTTGAAGAATAGAAAATACAATGGTTTAACAGTTTTTCGCCGGTTTCAACAGGGTTGCCAAGCGGTCTCTACCGATTTACTCTCAAAAGTTTTTCCGGATTACTTACAACTTCAAAATAGCAATATTACTTGTTTTTTTTATAAATCTATTTGATTTTATTTTACTACTGTGCAATTTTGTCAAACAACAAAAGAGAAATTTCCATAACCCACAATTGTCAAAACAGATGCATCTTTTTTCTGTGCATTTACCATTTTATTAACCAAGTAATACATACAAAACATCTTTGTAACCAGCTTGACAAAAAACATAGATAAAAAGGATTAGAGAATTAGACGGTCTTCTTTAATAAGGAGCAAAAACATAAAAAAATCAGTAATTCTAATACCTGAAAAAATCTATTAGTAAAAAAATATAGTTACTTTCAAAATGAACAAAAAAAAATTTTCTTAATCATAATCGATAATAATCGACCAATGGGACGACTATCGACATGACTCCTCTAGTGTTGTAAGTTGCAATATCAAAATCACATTTATTCTTTTATATTCGCCAAGCAATAGAGGCCGCTGCAATTTTAAAACTACAAAATTGTAATGAGTGCTAGAAGTGCTAAAGGGGGTAAAATTAGGCTTATATTAAGATTTTTTTTTATAAATAAAACGGTTTTAATAAATTATCCGATCAGAATTTTGCATAACTACCAAGAATATACCTATGCTGACTTCCCGATACTCACAATTTCCATTTACTCACAAATGTGAGGAATAACTCACAGATTGGGTTTCAAAGCTCATCTACATCACCTTAGACTAGCGTATGACAACAGGCTCACAGTTGCCATATCTAAACTGTCAGTTCCACTGATCTGTATTATTTTACTGGATAGGATATAGCCCCCTAAAAATCGTTCCGAAAAATTGGCCGATTTGGGCAAATAATATGGCGGACCGGATGTTATTTAAAGTAACCTCTATTTCCATTTGTCATTTAATTGTGTCAACAAGCTACGATGAGATGTTTTTATTGTGGAAAACAAAGTAAAAAGAGTATGAAATAAACAATAAACGTTCATTCCTGAAGACACAATATGCTTCACGTTTCCATTTTTATATTTTCTTTCATAAAAAATCAAATCATGGGTGAATTTTCCCGAAGGACATCGCCCGCAAAATAGAAGAAGAATAAGAAGAAAAACTAATCAAATTATAGGTTAGGTATGTCAAATTATCCCAAATTTCAGTTCTGTGAACCCACCATAATTTGCCCAAATCGGCCAGCATTGTTGCACTTCCGGTCTCCTTGGTGGAACGATTTTTTTGTATGTTAAATATAGCCTATATCCTATCCAGTAAAATAATACAGATCAGTGGTCAGTTCCCACTTGTCAGCACTTTGACAGATCATTGTAATGCCTAATTGTCGATTCGCCTCCTCTCTAGTCTTCATATGCCGCGTTTGAATATCCACATCCGATGCATTTTTTACATCTCGAGCGTTTGTTTATCCACATCGGACACATCTGTCCCATTACATTTACGTATACTGAATCAAGTGATCAAAGATTTACTACATCTCAGATGCATCCGATGTGGCTATTCAAGAGCGGGCAATAGATATGACGTTTGTTTTTTTATGAAGTAAATGTTTACATTCTGTATTTTTCTTATTCTAATTTTGTTGTTCCAATTTTATAATTTACTTATAGATATTGACATGTCAATTTTATTTTCTCTAATTTTGATGAATAAACTTAAAAACTACTTTTTAAAGATTTAGGCTAGATAGAAAAGAACTTATTATTTAATTGTTTTAGATGGCATTCATCAATATCAATCTAGTGTCATAATTTTTTAATGTAAAAGCAATATTTGTTATGTTCAAAATCATCTACAATGAGTCTGAAAACATTTTTTATACAGTAGGTAATTTTTTGTACAATTTTTGTGATTCATCAAAAAAAATATGATTTGGAAAATCTGAAAGAAAGTTATTCCAGGTTAAGAAATGTAAAAAATGTCCTTATTGTCTATGTGCAGGTGGTTAGTTACAAATAAAAAACAAAGTAAGTAAAACATTTTATTGTTTTTATAAAAGCGTTTTTTATTACACAAATGAATAAAAGAAAGTTACTTGGTTAAAAAACGTTAAAAGTTTGCACATCAAAATAGGATAAATAAAAAACAAAGTAATCGGAAGAAGTTTTATTGTGTTTTTATAAATGTGTTTTATTACAGTCAACATCACTAAATATAAAACAATATCACAAGTACGATAAAACTCATTAAGTCAAAAAGACACAAATATAAATAATAAAAATAATACTCTTGGGTATATATTAAAACTCTACTCTAGATTAATTTATCTACTCGGTATAAAAACTCTATGAAATAAATAAAAAATTACAATAATTACAAAAGTGTAAGCTCTCAAAATTTATGTAAATTTTTGCTAAAATAGGGTTATCGTTTTTAAAAAACAATAAAAACAATATAATACAGATTTTGACAAATATGACCAATAATAATTTCAAGGTGACGTTATTCCCCGGAATTCGCAGTCAATCTTCAGATTAATAATTTCGATAGGATTGTTTTAGAATAATCTAGTTTTCTGAAATATTTACATTATTTGATTTACTTTAGGCACGTTCGAAGACCTGAAAAAGAAATTGTCAACCTAAAAAAATATATACTGTGGTTCATATATGCAAAAGCTGTATTAGTAAGGCTTAGTATATCATCGTAACAGCAAAAAAATAAAAAGTCCTAGTTTTAAAACTTCAATTATTACTAATTTTATGCAAGGAAGTACCATTTTCCTTTATATTTGTATTAATTGGGATATTGCAAGTACCATATATTGATTGAAGTGGCACATGAAGAAGTTCTATGATTTTGAGGTATTCTTTCTCTGTAAACAAAATTATTACATATTAAAAAAATATATTTTTCAACTAGAAATTTTAGAGAACGCATTTATTTTTAGAGGGTGATTTAATTCGAGGCATCTTTTATCACACCAAACCCCATAACAATTTGTAATCTGAATGTCTTAACAACAGAAATTTCAATTCTAAAGACGGTTTTCCACTAAACGGACAACTGAGTTTGTGTTTTGTTTTCTGGAACTTAAAAAACAAAAACAACTGAAACAAACCCAAAATTCTTGTTTCTATCAGGCGGGCTACATTTTATTTCAGTTTTGCTTTTGTTTTCCGCCATTTTCCATTACTTGTCGCTAAGAAGTCAGAACACATTTTTTTAATAACCAACCAACATATTTAGAAAATATTTTTTTATTGTAAGTTGTGGCTGATTTATACTGCGATCCTGGGAAAAAATGAATTGTCTTTTTTGAATCACCCTATATGTATATCTGTATGTCAGAGCCTGAATACGTCTCTTAAATTTTAAATTTGATACTTTGCTCAAGCTAGTGTCTTTATTTTTTAAGATAGTTCCAAACTGAAAAAACATATAAAAGTAGTTTAAAAGATGTATGTGATATCATATAATCCTCAAAAGGACAATATTTGGACTTCACTTTCTCTGGCTCTGATGCACAGATGACCGTCTCCAGTAAACAGACTTGAGTTTCAAAACACGTCAAAACCTTTTGATGTTACCGTTTCCGATCTGGACTCGAGAAACAAAACTTAAACTGTCGCAAAACACGCCTGTCTTCAAAAAGTTTTTGAAAAGTTGCAGTATTGTTTTTTTCGACACGAGTTTGTTTTGTTTTTGTTTGTCCGTTTAGTGAAAAACCGCCTTTATAAGGAACCATGCACATTAATTAAAAATTCATATGATTTACTATGGGATCTGAGGCAGCATAATTTTGAATTGTTTTAAAAAGTAAGTACGTAAACGTATTTAAAACATAAATCTTGTTTTTATTATGCTCTTCACACAGTAGTCTGTGATTTTAAATTGCACGTTGCATGAAAATTCTAAATAGAAGAAGAAAAAAAAAAGGAATAAGCCTATGAAAATATTGCCTGTGATCAAACTACCTCTATGACCTTCATAACCTTAAAAATAGCTGAGCATTTTTTAAGTTTTCAAAATTCAAACAAGCTTTTATAATAAATTAAATGAGAACTATCAACAACTTGCGAAAAACTGAATTTGGGAAATCAATAATCAGATATGGACCTATAAAAATAACAATCCATAATTTATAAATAAATTTACATGTAAATTCACAAGCAAATTAAACATCAACAAATATTTTAAAATATTCTTTCAAATACGATAATTTTACATGTGTTATGTTCCAGCACGGGTTCTAATTGATTTATAAATTGTTTTTATGCATTTGAATATTAAAGTTCTTAAAACTAACTTTTAAATATATTTCCTATGCTCCTGTGCATTGACACTTAGGCCCGTATTTATATTTATATCTCAGGTGAGTCCTTGAATGAAAATCGAAGTCCGGTTATATCGTGTGAATTTAGAGATAGGTAGTAATAAATCCGTAAATGTACTTAATAGTTATGGATTTGCTACTGTCCATCTCTAAATTCCAGTGCACCACCGAAACCATCTTGAACTCTAGAGAAATTATAACCGAACTTCGATTTTCATTCAAGGACGACTCAGCCAAATCCGACTCAGCTGAGATATGTTTATAAATATGGGCCAATGTGTTCAAATAAAATACAGAGTATCCCATAACTCTAAATTCACCGATTCAAAATGACACGATTAAACAAAAGATGCTTCAGTAAAAAATATTGTTTTAGAAATACTGGGTGTTAAAAATTGAAAATTAAAACCCACTCGACCATTCACTGTTGGGTACTAATTAACAGTGCTGTTCCTAAAGTGGCGCCGGGAAACAGTAACAAAGCCTACACAGAACACGAGGCTAATAACCATAGCAGTTGAAGCCGATGACACAAAAAAAAATTGATAATGGCTAAAATGTTTTTATTACTTAATATAATTTTACTAAATTCTGCAAACGAGTTTGATGCTACGTCATAAGATAACCAATCAGGAAGAGAATAAGTTGATTAAAATTTGCCAGTGGTGTACTGCATGGGTAAGTAACACCTTTTGTTATGCAACTGTCCAAACATTATTTTGACTATAATTTAAATGTTTTTAACGTTTTTGAATTAAATTTTAATTAAAACTAAACAAAATTATGTACTAATAAATTTTTTAAAAATCTCAAAATTTAAAAAAAAGTATCCACCTTTGAGTGCGAATATACCGAAAAACCAAAAAGAATACTTTATTTACTAAAATAACATCAAAAAAATTAAATTATGATCAAAATTAGTGTTTGGGCAGTAGAGTAATTAGAGCCACTATTAATTTTCAATTTTTAACTTTATTTCGGAACATTTAATCGCCTCAATTTGAGCCAGAGAATATTCCGCTGCTCTATGTTCCATTCTTAATGGGACATCCTGAATATAAAACTGAATACAAATGAACAACGCAACCGTCCAACATCCAACCACAGAATAGAGAACAATATTCCCCAATAAAGTAAAATTGCACTCAACCTCATTTTAAAACTAAAATCCAATCTTTCCAAAAATAAAAACTGGATTATTGATTATTTCGGCATATACGACTGAAAGTGACCTTCAATTAATCTTTAACTGGCAACATTTGCAGATGTAAGTAAAAACACATTATCAAAGACAGTAGAAATAAAAGAGATTTTAAATTATAATTTCACATTGAAGCACCGACATGACCTAACTTGGAGACAATGGGAGGGCTCATCAACATGTGGTCTCCATCACAATCAAACGATGTGTCCATAAGATTATCCTACTATAATATAAAGAAAAAAGAGAAAAATTTAAAGTCTGTGCCACAGAAAAACGAGCGACCATTTTCCTCCTGAAAACAACTAATCCTTTGGCTAATACCGCAACACGCATTGCATTATATCAAAAGGTGAATAGCAGAGATAGAAAATAATTTTGAACATTCTAAATTTGATTTTTCTTTTTAAGGAGAATGTAATTCTTAGACCAGTTTCGTCCTTATTAGGACTACTTCATACAACGCATACATTGGTATAAAAGTTGCCTTATATCAAAGATTTCACCACATTTAATCCCATGAATAGGTAAGTTTTTTATTATAAATTAGTTTAAAGGTAACATTTGGAAAGGCGAGACCGAGTAAGACGACAGAATGCAAGAAGCAAATACTACCATGTTAAAAGTACTATTGCCTCTCTTTAATCGGTCGTGTTGTCCCAAATGTTTTTCATATAATTACATGTTTTGAGATGAGAAGAAACCGTTTTCGGTCGCCTTACGCTGTCGCTTTACGCCTTTCGGTCTCGCGTTCTCAAATGATACCTTTATAATCCATTTTAGTATCATGAAAATTTTTACTGGGTTCATATCATAAACTCCCCTCGCTCATCCCAGTATACCATACATTAGTTGAGATTGGACCAGGGCATAGTATAGTTTTCAAATGAGGTAAATCCCTAGGTATTTCCTTGAAAACTTAAATCTACTAATAAGACCTCTTATCTTTTTCGCAAAATTATTTATATATGTCCCAAAGCAGATCCGAAATTTCTAGAACGAGACGAACGAAAACAGCTTTTGTCCAACGCTTTTCAAGATCTTTTAATCCTTTAATAAAAAAAAGGAAATGTTGAAACATACAAAATATCAATTTCAAATTTGACGATTTCGGTATGCGTTGTGAATTTCTTTCCGGCCAACCATTTTAAAAAGACGTAGCCAAGCCTGATGAATACATCGCACGTTCAATTAACTGGAATCGTAACTCGTCCAGTTTGGCCATCACAATTGACGACTTGTGGGACGGGGCATTATCTTGATAATACAAGAATATTTTCTTTGCCAAATAAGGCTAAAAAACCTTGATTCTTTTGTTCAATCTGTTGAAGCATAATATTCACCTATTACTGTGCTTCCAGATTGCAAATAATTAATAAAAATGATTTCTTGGGAATCCCAAGCGACGCTAGCCATCACTTTTCCAATAAATTAAATCGTCTTGGTCTTCTTTGAAGTTGGCTCATCACGTTTGGTTTACTGCTTTGACTGCTCTTTGGTCTACGGAGTCTAGTGAAGGCATTTATAAAACGTCGTAAAAATATGTTTCATTGCGTTTGAACATGTCTAGACATTTCTGAGAAATGGTATCATTCAAACTCGCTTTTTGTCTATTTTCAAGAGATGCGGCATCCATATATCACTAAGCTTTTTAATGTCCAAATGTTGATGCAAGAAGACGCAACGTATTGCGTCGTATGAAATTCATAGTTTCTTTGCTATCTCTCTCAACTTTACTCGGCGATCATGAATCAAGATTTCATGGACGTTTTCAATTATTTCTTTATAGGTAGCTGGTTTGGGTCTGCCAGGACTTGGCGCATCCTCTATGCTTGTTCTACTGCGTTTAAATTCAGCAATCCAGTTTTTAACTGTTGTAAACGTCGTCTCAGGTTTATTTGTTTAGCATTCAAGTCTACCAAAAAGAAATATTTTATCACCGCACGAAACTCGTTTTCATTCATAATTAAGAAAATTTACGAATTATTTACTTAGATTGATAGTAACGGCGAGTATTTATGTACAAACTGTTTGAAAATTTAACAGCAGTTGTAAGAATTCTAGAAACATCCCGATATATCCTCTTATATGCTGCGTACAGCAGTTTTGTCGATTACCAAATTTCCCAGATCAGAAAAGCTACTTGAGAAGGAAGTAAACAGCAGATAACTGGTCCTTTCTACGTTTAAAGTGAGTTTGTTGTATACAAGCCACGTTCATACAATAATGGAATAAAACGTACCATTTTCAGGTGTAACAAGTCCATGCCTAATGAGAAAGTCTAGTGCCACGGGCGTGCTCGTTGTCTTGAAATCGGCAGTGAGTATTTTCTCCAGACATTCTTTGGCGGGAAGCAACTCGAACGTTTCAACTTCACCATCGGCGTTGACGGGCACGAAGTCTACTGGAAGTTCCAAATCGAACACGAATTCAGTGTTCGGGAAGAGGCCTCGTTCTGATTCGAAGAAAAACCTAAAAAGAAAAATTAACACAATGAGTAAATTTGTAATTAATTTAAAGATGCACGCGTGCGCGTGTTCTTATTTTTCCGGATTTTACATAAGGTGGGAGGCGAAAATATGTGAGTCAAAAGAAACTGTTAAGGTATTTAGTCATTCACTTTTTATCGCCATGTAGAAAAGTTGTAAGATGTGTTGGAAGGGTTGGGTTTGTCTCAAACGGAAGCTTGATCTAGGGAATTTAGTCAACATGCATCGTTACACGGGATAACAACGTGCTTTTTGTGTGGACGAGTTTGACCGAAACAACAATTCTTGTATTCTCGTTCAACGTTTATTTAAATGACATTACAATTTACATGACATTGAACAAAGTCCACACATTAACTTAATTATGGGTTCGTAAGTTTGAAAAGACTGCAGACTCTTCAAACTTGTACCTGTACCTTTTGAACCAATCCTGTAACTTGATTTGAAAACCATATTTGCACTTGATTTGACAACCATAATGGAACCTGGTTTAAAAACCATATTGGAACCAGATTTAAAAACCATATTGGAACCTGGTTAGAAAACTATATTGAATCTAGTTTAAAAACCATATTGGAACCTTATCTAGAAACGATATGAGAATAAAAGTGTAACATTCCAACCTAAGAATCACATTTGCAAACCATATGAATTTCTAAGAATGAATTTCTATGAATTTCCATTCGCAAAATGTCGCTATTGGACAACATAAAATCCCAATTGCTTATAACTAATATCCTCAAAAAGTGAATGTGGGCTGGGATTCTTAGAATTGCCATTATAGAACCATCTTTTTTTGACGGTACTATGAAAATTATCTGCAAATGTTGCAAACTTATATGTAGTTCGATATTTAACTGTATATAACATGTCCAGACATTAATCATCCTGGTCAAATAGATTCTACTGTTTGGTTCTATATCTATAACGTGTGTTACCCCACGGCACTTAGGCCTCACTAGGCCCATTATGCATCCTCCTAAGATGATAAGCACCTACAGATTTAATGTAGTTGACAACGTCGCCAAGAAGTGCTTCTCTTGATTAGAGATTTTCTCAATGAAAATTTTCCCAATCGCTGAATTGGATGACGCGGTCACATTGAATGGCCTGCTAGATCTTCAGATTTAACTACCATGGACTTTTTTCTGGGGTTACTTAAAAAGTAAAGTTTACGTAAACCGACCTATCAATTTGGAAGCCTTTAAAGAGAAAATTCAAAAGGACATTCAACGAATTACAGCAGATATATTGTCAAACGTAACCCAATAATTTATTAGACGTCTTGGATATTGTCAACTAACTCAAGAAGATCATTTCTAGCATTTGTAAGAAATATTTTATTATTTGTTTATTTTTACTAAGTACTAACTACTTTTAATATTTTCATTGCAAAATAAATATTAAAATAAATGTTAAGCAATATGAGCACTGGTTTCCTTTATAATGACCACTGGTTTCATTTACACTCAGTATACCGTAACTTAAAGTATTACATATGGTATGGTTGAAGTCAAAAATATGGGCGTTCAATTTTTAATTTAAAAATTTACCCTTTCAATTAAAAGGTAAGGTAATGGGGGTAAAAATTTTTTTTCGAAAAAAAAAAAAAAAGTAGAAAATAATTACCTCTTAAGACAATGGTGCGTTTCCACACTTCTTTATAAAAGCACTGTATATAAAGTTTCTGTCATTTGGTTTATTAGGGATTATAATGATGTTGCAAATATTTTAAATACCGCCTAAATGCAATCAAGGGGTCTAAGTTGTAACTAATTTTACTGCAGGTAAATATACTAATCATATCTAATTACGGACACATTTAACATATTTTAATTATTTGCCTTTTAATTTATAAAAACTAATCGCCTATCATTTCATTCATTGGAACGCTAGTTTTATTAGTAATTTAATGCTCAATATAATAAAACAATTTAATGAAACATGAACTTTAATCGCAATTAACTAAAATAACAAATTTAAGCTACCATTAAATCCCTAATATAACTTTTGAATGAAGTGTCCCTCTTTACACTAGTTTTTATTCCGCCAGAGGGTGCTAAAATCAACGCAATGAATAGTCATATTTCTGAATTTTCCATAAAATTAACTTTTAAATGATGTGTTGCTTGACTATACTAGCTATTTAAAAAAAATATGAGGTTGCTACCGGGCTCCAGGAAGTTGGATTTCTGGGCATGAATTTTATATGACGATTCGTCTCCTTGCCAATGAAAGGTGGTGTTTTTTGTTTTTCTTAAATTTGTGTAAAATCGAAAGTTATTTGAAATGAAAGCAAGGTATATCAATAACAAGTACGCCAATACAATAATTCTAAATAAGTGAGCTTGTAAATATAGTTTTCCAAATGGTCACTACAGAAAATGCGACGGGCCCTATTCAAGTTTCCACTTTGGCTGGGTTTGATGACAGAAACCGGATTTCTGCAATTAAAAGTTCATCAGGTTACCCTGGACAGGTGAAACTGTAATTCAGCCTTGAAAGGGAAATTTGTTGTCTATAAATTAAACGCTGACTAATAGCACACTGTTTGTTCTATCATTAGAAACAAGCAACTTATCCACATAACGCTTTTCGTACTGTCGAAAATTTACTTCATGTTCTGATTAAGGTAAAAATATCGACCCCGAGGTCGTTTTTTTCAATTTCTATATGCCTCTTAATATTGTTATAGATATTTATGTAATCGGTCAGGATATCCACAATTATTAAAGTGTGTATCTTATAGTGGTATCCGAAGTTTTTTTTTTAAATAATTTGACAAACAGTGAATTTTTGGTAATACATGTTTTTTTATTGAAATTGGATCCATTACAATTTATTTGGTCACTTTTTGAAGATGCCTTCGGCCAAGTGGCCACCTCCGGACGCCACACACACAAATCGACCCGTTTTTCGGCATTTGCCATCACTTTTTGGAGTGTTTCGGGTGAATGGCAGCGATTTCTCGGCGTATGTTGGCCTTAAGTTGTTGGAGAGTGGCTGGTTTATCGGCATAAACCTTTCCCTTCAGGTATACCCACAGGAAAAAGTCAAATCTGGTGAATGAGCCGGCCAGTCGAAATCGCCGTATTTCGATATCAATCGATTCGGGAACATGGCACGCAATAAATCCATTGTATGGCATGTTGCGCCGTCTTGCTGGAATCAATAGTCGCCCATGTCATGTTCGTCCACCTCATTTGCCACAAAATCGCGTAACATGGCCCGATATCGCTCGTCATTGATTGTTACCGTGACTCCGTTATCGTCTTCGAAAAAGAACGGGCCGATGACCCTTTCAGCACAAACACGGCACTAAACAGTGACTTTGGGGGAATGCAACGGCTCTTCGAAGATCATCTGAGGATTTTCAAAGCCCCAAAATCGGGTATCTTGCGTATTAACAACGCCACACAGCGTGAAATGTGATTCATCGGTCATGATCATACAGCTCCAAAAATCAGGTTGGCCGGCAAGGATGTCCTGCATATTGCGACCGTATTGGATGCGGCGCGGCCTATAAATTGGCAATAATTGTTGAGCGGTCTGCATTTTGTAAGGAAAGGTGCGCAAATCCACCCTTAACAACCGCCACATGGATATGTGGGACATGCCAAACTGCTGAGCACGGTGTCGGACCGAAACTTGACGCTCCGCGACGTCGGCACTTACGGCTGCTATTGCTTCCATACACCGTCCGGTACGCGGCTTATTCCGACGGACAGAGGTTGCCAAAGATCCTGTGGCATTAAATTTTTCAATCTAAGCACGAATAGTCTTCGGGGTCGGCGCATTCTGGTAACAGAGTAGTTTTTTTTTTAATAAATTTTTACAATTTCAGCACGTTGTTGTGGTGTAAGGTGGTTCATTGTTAAAATTGTACTGGACTGACGTTTCTAAAACATTAACAAACATGGCGATCTGTCACCTAGTTGTCAAGTTATTTGAAAAAACATCGGGTACCATTATAAGATCCACCCTTTATTATTATAAAATATATTAATTGAAAAAAATATTTATTATACTTTCTCAAATAAAAAATAATAAAATGTATAAAATGTTTATTATCCACATTTACTAAAATGTATTCGACAAGTCATAAAGCATAAATGCTAAATATTATTAATAATAAAACTATTCCCAAATAAATATATAGTTAAATAAAACAAAAACATTATATTAACACCATAATAATAGGATAGTATCCAGGTTCATTCAACATGATACAAAGTAAATGTTTTAAAATGTAGTTTTAAGTTTTCACAACAATTATAAAATTAAAAAACTTTTTTGGAATGAAACCATTCTTATTTAACATTATAAATAAGAAAGTATAATACGATAATTTAACTTAATTATACACACATAAATTTATTGGGATGGCATCATTTTTCAAACGGATTCTAGACAATGAAGATCGATCAGAATGTTTTTCTTCAAAATGTCTTGAACACATATATGGTTGGTTGCCAATAATCTCTATGTAAAAACGGTAACCATACATTCAGTTTTTCAGAATTCTTTTTAAATCTGTAAATAATAATGTTATTATGACCCTATTTATGTTATCCCCGATAATTTCTTAGTTTCTACGCAATCTATGCATGTATAACCGCGTAAAGCACAAGATACCAGTATATCCTCAAGGTCTTTTAACTAACACTATATGAAAATAAAACGAACACAATAAATACCGAAAAATAAAGCACATACAACAAAACTTATAAGACAATGTCACACATGACATTAATATCGCAACAATATGGCGCACCTGTTACCAGCTTCAGTACATGCGCAGCGATTTCTCTTCCATGACTATTACAGAACACAAAAATTAAAAATCATTATAACCGACCCATAAACCAGTTATCATGGCTGTCATTTTATTGTATCGACAGCTCCTTATGATCCCAATTTCTGTCCCAATCTTTGGAAAATATAACCCATGCTTCGCTCGTATTTTCGTCGTTTGGATTGACATTCACAATTTAAAAATAAATATTAAGTAGTAGTTTAACTACATAGTAATTAAACTATTTTTGTCTAAAGTAGTAGTTTTACTCAGCTAAAGCACTAAACAGGGGTGACGTCAACGCCTTAAGGATATAACAAGAGTACTGGATTATTTATGTAAACAGAGCGCCGAATTTTTGAGGTTCCTTGCACAATTCTTAATGATAAGCAATGAAATAAAAAATAATACAGACGACGAATTTCGTTTCAAAATAATCCGTATCAGTAAAAAAGAGGCGTAAGTGAACAATAAGAATAGCGAACTACACTTCTCAATACAAAATGTATTTGTCTGTTAGGAATCATGTAAGGGACTTTAAAATAATTCCTCATAGTATATAAAAAGAAAATTCCAAGGAGCTGATAGAAACAACAGGAACACTGATATAAGATAAAAATGCCTCAATTATTTATTTACGGGCAAACCCATTTTAATTACAAATTAATTTAAAAATTAATTAAAATATCACAAATATTTATGATGTTGTAGCACAAACAAAGACATAAACTGCTGACTAAAAATTAGCATTAAAGCTCAGTATTGAGTTTTGAATGATGAAAAGGGAATATTGAACAGCCTAAAATCATTGTACAAGTTAGCTAATCCAAATATATGTAATGTGAGCCATTTCATTATTTAGTCATGCTCTAATACTCCAAGTCACTCTCTTCCCTTATTTGGCCTTTAAGGCTCAACTTATCCGATTATCATACATAATTAAACCCCTTAAGACCAAACATATGTGACGACTATGGCGGAGGAGCTTTCGATGACTGTTCGAGAAAGAACGGGATAATGTTTCTAGTGTATTGGTGAGAATAAGTGAACTTTCTAGTACAATCGCCAATTTTTTAAATTTATATATAAATATTGGTGGAGGACCAAGCGAGAGTTAGTTATTATATGGTCAGTGAAGATAAATAGTCAACAGTTTTAAGACATTCGAAATATATATAAATTAGAATAATAGTGTTATAAAATAAATAAGTGTTTAAATAAATTATTAATAAATAAACTGTTGTTTAAAATAAACTTGGAATGCAGTTTTTAAAAGCTTGGTTTGATCTATAAAAAAGTATGTAAATAGTTTGCAGTTGCCTAGTTGACCGAGTTTGAACAAACAGATTTATTTTTTCAAGAAGTTCAGGACAATTACATCTACTATTTATAATATTAAATAGCATAAAAAGTCTGTTCTCGCCGGCACACAAAAAAAAGTTATAGGTACTTTTGACAAGACCGCTGAATCCGAATCTGAGGTCCGTTTGACCCGTACACCGTCAAATTTTCGAGAAAACTGAGGAAAAACTGCCGATTTTCATCATTTTTTTCGAAATACATAAAGGTATATTTGAGTTACGTATTAGACGTTGGACGTGATGGAACACAGAATGGTATATTAGAGCTAACAGATCTGAAGAACATATTTGATTGTTGATTTGATACAGGGTAAGTCCTAAGTTGATACTTTTTTAACTGTGTATAGAAGTCATTTAAATAAACAATTTTTTCAAAAAAAACTCAAAAATAAAAACTTACATTATCCAATACGGTCCTGAAAATAATGTGTTCAAAGTTTTCACCATTCACTGAAGTGTTGAAACACAAGGTAAGCCGCTCATTTTGAGGTATATGCATTTCGAAGAAACTCGCTACAAATAAGCAACATATTATTCTTAAGCTCATTGTTTTCATATATAAACATTCTCCTGAACTCTGAACACCCGACTAAATTACACTGACCGGTAAGCGATAAAACCCCAATAAAAAAGGTATAAAGATGGAAACATTTAGCTTAATTGTCGATATACAAATCCAGGCCTATTTTCTTTTTAATGACTTCTATATACAGTTAAAAAAGTAACAACTTAGGATTAGAATAAAGTACATGTTATTTTGCGTCTACTCTCAAGACATGGTATTTTATACTCTATTCTTAATTGTGCTATTTTAACAACCTTGTAATTAGGTCTGATTAGTACTTTTTAAGAATATATTTTGTATTTTCTATAATTCTTGAAAAATAACTTAATATTTCCCAAGCGATATAATTGGAGCAAAATCTAATTTTAAAATCTTTAATCAAAGGTATAAAATCATTCACCAATTAACATTAGAAAATGATTGAGGTTGGCTCATTAAAAATCACAACGCATGATTTATTGCTAAGTATGTAGTCTCAATATGTGTAAAAAAGGGTAATTTAGAATTGTATGTTACCCCAAATCTTCAACTTAAAGCACTTTTTTAATGACATTTGCTGATGTTAAATTCCAATTTACATTTTTGACTTCATTAATATATTGCATTTATGAATGTTTCTAAAGAAACTGTTTGAATTTGTTTATAGATCTTAAAATCATCAACAAAAATCATTGACAAATAACAAAAACAGTAATAGGCCTAGATTAGAACCTTGCGGCACTCCAGAAACAACACGGAATCTACTAAAAGCAAGTCTTACCAAACATTATCTATCTTTCAAATAATCTCTAATAGACATTAAGATATTAGTTGCCAATTTAAATTCTAATAAAACATTATGATCTACCCGAAAAAAAGCCATACAGTCAGTAAAAATTGTATCGAGTTGAAGTCTTTTTTTCCAATGTCTCCATTTGCTTGATTTGTAAAGATAAATAAATTAGAATTGATCTTCCAGCCACAAATCCATGCTGCTATAATATATAGGTACATAAATTTAAAAATAGGGAATATACCTCAGACTGAATTGAAAGTTTTAATAGGAACATGCACATAACAGTCAGACACCGCTGCCGCTCGTCGTGCATCAAATTGTCTGTACATATGTAATGGCGCGAGCATAGGTGGAAATATCATCATGGAGCGTCCGTTATGAGCATGTACATATTATACCTTGTTCAATTCATTGCAAAAAACAGGGTATCCCACTATAAAGTAACATATTTTAACAGATAATAACTTGAGAAAGGAAAACGATATCGACGTGCAGTTTTCGCTAAACTTCTTTCATTTGCTTTTCTTTTTGTTGACATTGTTGTCGAATGTATTTTTTCCCAAAACTGCCGGAAAAATGTATTTTTTTTTGGACAAAATTATCGATTTACTTTAAATAGAACCCCTATATTTTATCATATCATCTGAAAGTCTCTTTCTTCTCGTTTTAAAAAATGTATACATTGTAATCACAATGTATACATTTTTTGATAAATAATCATTTATTAAAGGTTTGGTGGAGATTTTTTTTATGAATCTACATCAAAAACATGTAATTGTAAGATTGTTAGAATTTTCTGTTAGTTTATTCATTATTTATACATTTTTATAGGTGTATTTTCTGGGTTACTTCAAATAAAAAATGATCTGATACTCTTATAATCACCTGTGTCCTCTTTCCAAAGCCGCCTGACATATTAGACATCGTTTTATCAAGGTATCTTTGAAAAAATATAACTTACGTTAAGAAACTTCAAACAATTTATGTGAAGTAGATAAAGAACGAACACACTCAAATTTATTAATCGACAAAGTAAAAAGCCCATTTTTTTAGGAAATTTCGGAAAAAATATACATTTGGCAACTATGCCAATAGAAACTTAAAATAATCTTTCATAAGATGTACTTTAAAAAAGTCAACTAAACAAAAGGTTATACTTACGATACACAGCCCGCGCTAATTAAATTATTTAAAAGATGTAATGGTACAGATGCTTCTTCCATGGCTTCCTTGTGTGCAGTCTCTAATATACCATGGCCTACAGAGAGGCCACCACCCACCATATTATCCCATTTTCCTTAAAAATAATCAATAAATTATTATGATATACTCACCGGCACGAAAAAAGATATACTTTAGATATAATTTTTTTTATTGTTTTTTTTTTGATGTTCTATTGTTATAACTAATATTTTTTTAATTAATTTTTAATAACAATCAACCTTTTATTTAAGAAGAAAAACTGGGTTTTTTTAACAAAAATTTACCAAAATAAAAATAGCATAATATTATATCACCTGAAAGTGCATAGTTGGCCATGGGCTTTTATTGTTTTGAGAAATTTGACAAATATTTTGAAGTTTTGCTGCGTTTAGCAAGTCGTTTAAACTTGCGCTGCGTTTATTTAAGCTATAAATTATGGCTGTTAATCCTGAAACAGCGGCTGCTATGGTTGCCCAACAATATCTCGTATCCAATACAACTGTGCATCGTATTTCTACCCGTTTTTTGGAAACTGGAGATTACACTAGACGACCTGGAACTGGCCCGCAATGAAAAACTAACGTTTTATCATCTTACTTTACAAAGTCTGCGAGATCATCATGCTACAGCTGTAGAAATCAGAAATCGACTCCATCACGCCGGAATACCAAAGTAAACGAACGGACTGTTAGACGAAGACTAGGAGAAGTCAAACCTACTAGTTATAGACTTGCAACAGAAGTCATCGAATCGCCAGACTTTCCAGGAATCATGAATACTGTGGTGAAAATTAATGGGGGCGTATTTTGTTTACTGATGAGTCGAGATTTAGCCTGCGGTCTCCAGATGGTCGTGAGAGAATATGGAGAAGACCATAAGAGCGTCTTGCAGAATTTTCCTTCAGTCCTAGGGTAAGCTACCAAGGGGGTTTAGTTATGGTGTGGGCTGGAATTTCTCTGGAGACACATAGAGTACATCTTTACAGGAGGCTCCATAACTGCTGCCAGGTACATTGATAAAATTCTGCAAGGCCTTGTCCCTTATGTCGATTTTATTGGAGACGACGCATGATAATGCTAGGTCTCACACCGCGAGAATTACTCAACAATACCTAAACGACGTAGACATTCCTGTCTTGGAGTGGCCAGCGTTAAGTGCGGATGTTAACCCAATTGAACATGTTTGGGACATGCTTGGGCGAAGAATACGAAGTCGTGTTCCTGTTCCTTTAACCTTAAATCAATTGCATCAAGCTCTTTTAGAGTAATGGGACATTGCCTCAAGAAGACATTCGCCATTTGATTTTAGGCATGCGAAGGAGAATTCAAGCACGTAGGGGCAATACCCGTTATAAAAAGACGTTTCTTCAGTTTTTGCTAGCAATACGTTTTAGTTTTCACTAATTTAAGGTGACTTTGGCATCAATTCGTTTTTTTTTTAAATGTAACAATAGTTTTTATTTTCAAATAAACGGTTGATTGTTGTTAGAAATTACTTAAAACATGTTTTTTATGTATAAGTTGTTATAACCATAAAACATCAAAAAATAAATTTCTTTTTTCTATGATCACTATCTAAAGTAGGCTTTTGGGATTCGAAATACAACCGCAAAGTTGACATTAAGTCACAGCTTTGTCGCTCGCCGAGCGGAAAACTTGACAGCTTTGTTGCTAGCTTAATTTAAATTTAATATAATATTTCTTTAAAAAAAAAATGATTTTCAAGTTATTTGTTTTATTAACCAAGTTAATATTTTGAGCTAAAAAGTATCACTTTTCGCTCTTAATTTAATACAAAAATAGCTATTTTTATATCTAAATGCCGGTGAGTGTATGTATTATTTTTTTGCGTTTACAAAGTAGTCATTGCCGAAATAAAATAAGATCTTTAATTAGTTAGTCAAGTAGGAATTAAATTAAAAAAAAAAAAGAAGAAACAACTTCTTTATATCAATATTTAAAACATCAACTAAACATTCGATAGCAATATGTTTAAATTAAAATATGTATTTACTCACCGGGCCATGTCTGTTTTGTAGGTGATCTTTTTTGGAACCAGAGACAAAGTCCTGAAAAATGCAAAATCTATTATTAAAATATATAATTCAAATAGCGCAATTGGAGTGCTGTCAGGCATTTGAATAAAAAAAAACAAATAAGGAAAAATTAATAAACTCATAGGTATCTATAGTTCGGGACACACTGAGAATGCAGTAATGTATTTCTAATGTGAGACTGACACATTGTAAGGGACCGTGCGTCATGACTTTAACGCTAACTGGTGACAAAAATGTGAACTTTATGGGGGGTATTTATTAATGTTTTATACGGCATTTATTGTTTAATAATTATTAATAAAATGAAGTCGAATTATTTTCGTAATATCAATATAGAAAAAACTTGTTGCATCCGTGGATGTTGTTGCATCCGTGGATGTACAAACACATCACTTTGGAAACCTGGATTTCATTCGATAGTAAAGAAATTTTATAAATTTTCACAGAGCACAATTATGCCTCACACCCAATGATATACATAATTACAAAGATTGCTTATCCATATGTAAATCAGACGACGAAAAGCGTATTTCACTAGGCAAAGTTTTCTTTTTATCTAGCTTATATCAATTTTGAGCACTTAGTTGTAAAGAAATAATTTACAGAACCGGTTTAGAAATTAGAATCTTTAGTGTTTTCTTGTCATTAAGATTTTTACATATTTAAATAAACATTTTATATAAATATCATTTTACAGATAATGGTTTATTCTGTTGATTAAAACTAATGTAGAATATGAAATAAGAATGTCCAATTTGACAAAAATATCACGGCCCTCTTTACAATTTATTAACTATTTCTCATTTATTATTAAAATAAACATTGCAATTACTGTCAAAAGAGATTGTAACAAACTTTAAAATATTAAAAATCCAGTGATTTTTGTAAATTTTTTTAGTGACATTACCATTAAACATTATTCAGAATAATAGATAAGTGTCCAATTACAACTCTTCCCAAAGTTGTTTATACCTCATATCAAAATTGTTTACATTACCTTTTCAAAATTGTATTACATATTGCAATTATGTATTTTATGTAGAATTGTTTCTGAAATAGTAGTCTAAAATTATTTATATCTATCTCTATCTCAACTCTATCTCTATCTCAACTTTCCAAATACATAATGACATGTCTTGAAGTAAAACTTTAATTATTTTATATATCTAAAATAAAATGCTGAAATTTTATTTTAAAACACATTTGGGCTAGAACGGCTCTATTTAGTGAGCACTAGGAAAGGCACATTGCAACCCGCTTTTCATAATTTTTTTATAGATGGGTGAGCAATCTATAATATGTATCATTGAACATCTCATAAACGTCAGTGGATGAATGACATTTCGATTAACATAAAGCTAAAAAGATTTATAATTATTATTATCAATCTTTTTTATTAATTTACATTATCTAAATGTTATTGTAATACTTTTAAATTCAGTGTTACTAAATACCGATATTTTAACATTGGATACACTTGTTTAAGGTACAACTTTACAATTTATTGTCACTTAGCCATTTAAATCTTTTTGCTTAAAATGTATATGCATGTCCAGATTTTAATAATGTTTCACATTTTACGTCATTTTGACCATGTACACGATTGTTTGGTACGGGCCGGTATCTATTTTTAACTATATTTAATATTTAAAAAAATACCCTTTATTATTTACTTGCAATGTTTACCCCATTTAATTCTAAAATTAAACACTAGAGAGGGCTAAGTTCGGCAGTAGTGCTGCCTCTATATTTCACGCACGGTCCCTGCGCCTGTCATTTGTCATCTATAAGTAGGATGTTTGTTTATTTACATGTTTTTGTTTTGGACGAATTTTGTATTTGTGATTTTTTTAACTGTTTTTAGATAATATTCTCATTGTAATAGTGTTTTTGAGTTTAATTTAGTGTTAATTTAAGTTTAAGTCTCGTGCTTTCGTCATAAATATAATATTTATCGTGTGTATGACTTAATTTGTTGGAAATATTTACCTATTGGTTACTACAAGAACATCTAGAAATATGTATTCACTAAACCCAGGACATGTTGTATTATGTGGTTTAAAGGACATTTCAGGTACCACACGTTTATTATTGATGAACTTATTTAAAAATCTTACTAGACTTATTCTTATATTATGAAGTGAATCATGTAGTACTTTGTATACATGTAAATGGTAATAAAACCGTCAAAAAATAAGATTTCAGTTTGATTCTAAACAAAGTTTCGTAAAATTTCAATATTGTGAATTTGTAGATATCCATTTATCGTAAAAAACAAAATTTTACGACTTGTACTTGGAAAATAATGAATCTTCAGTTTTGATTTTGACATTAACACCATATAGATTGCAATTTTCTGGGGACTTCGTCACAGATTTCATTTTTAATATGAACACTATCACATGCTATAAGAAAAAAACAAATTTAAAGCTAAAAAGTAAAAAAAAACTCTATTTGTAATTGATACAAATTAAAATGTAAACAATGAACATGAACGCCAATGTTGCCAAATGATGAACTGATTTTAAAACAAAATTAATAAATGAACTGAAATTTTAAAAAAATCAATATAATAAATCGGTTTTATAAAAAAATCCTTAAATAAATATAGAGTATCATAACATACACAAATTTTGATTCTTAAATAAAAGGTTTTATCCACTTCTTCCAGAGCTAAAATCCGACGACGTAGCGAAGTTTTGCTACTTCTGGCAACACTGAACGATATCCTACTTATTCGGACCTTCTACAAATTTCCTCCAGAGGGCGTATCACTTAACTTGAATCGCGAATAGCTGTGACAGGATCGGCTCACTAGTAGTCAAAGTTATTAGAGCATGTACTCTTGGTTGCATATATGAGGACTCTTTGTCCTTCTTGATGTCTAAATTGGACGGCTTTCTGTAGAAAGAAAGCAACCCAAAATTTTGTGATTTTTAGACTTTCGCATAATATAGCATTAAGGACCGTAACTTTTACTGCAAAAAAAAGATCCAGGCCACATTCTGGTACCTAGCGTTATTTGTTAGCGAATGAACCAACCGACTAAATTGGTTAAGCAAGTAATCTGCCTGCAGAAGCAATCCAAGCTGTTTGGTTACTTTCTACATAATAGAGAAAATAGTTGGTGACAGTTCGTTATTTGGTTTTCTGTGAGAGTGACTGTGAAGTATTAAAAATAGGAAAAAGCATATTTTGTAATACAATACGAATGATAATATTAGCATATCTCAAAAAATTCTTCTGATGACAAAAGATAATAAATAGAAAAATGAATGTTAAGAATAAAAAGTTAGCTGTTTAAAAACACGTAAGATACTTCTTGATAAAAAAAACATTTTAAATTTTTCTGAAAACCAATTTTTGAAGACAACAGGTATGCTGAAATAGATATCAGAAAAACAAATGGGTCGTCCGGCAATATTTAAAGATTTGCTAATACCAGTGGCTTGAAGGAAAAAAGTATAAAATCCAAAGATAGAGGACAAAAAATCTGTGATGCACTTAATTTCAAACGATTGCATGCAATTTTATGAACATAAAGGTATTTTTGGCGACATAAACGGATTATGTTGTTCGATCATGTTTGTCTATCCCCCCACCACATATAGTATATGTTGGCGCAAAAATGGAAACAAATTTTTATTACTTCAATTACTTATGTGTGTGTAAACCACGCGATTTTTCCTAAGAGATTAATTATTTTATATTAATTATTAATGTACCTATTGTCTAAAAATTACAACAAATTCTACTTGTGCTATTTATATTTACTATCTTTAATTGTTGAATAATTTCGTATCTTTCCTCTACTTCAATTTCAATCTTATTTAATTTAAATTTTAAAATTAAAGCTATCTTTTAGCTTTGTATACCGTTTCTAGTCATTTGTCAAACACATGAATTAACATAACCGCCTGTGGATGGGATCATGTTCGAGTATGCTAAACAGTGACGTCATTACAACCTCCCCTCCGGTCCTTGATGTCGGCCAAAACGGAAGATCATGCCTAAATAACATAATCTACCATAAACGTTTATGTTGGTTTATGCCGCGAAAAATACCTTATATAACTGGCACGGACATCGACAACAAACAATGTGGATGGATGCAGCGGAGCGCCTGATTTTGAACTGGATCATATGATGGTTGAATAAATTAAAAATATGTATTTTTACCTACTTCCTTTAACAATAAATTATACCTTATCCAAGTGAAATATATTCTTTTTTAAATTCGCAAGGCTAGCGCCACATTAGGCAGACGCTCTGTCGTCGATCTTCAGTAGCAGAACGTCTGCTGCAGAGAAATCCTTTAATCTCTTACGAGCAATTTAACTCGCTACATTGAGCTGAGGCTCGGTTGAAATGCCTAGCATTTGAATTTACTACGGCTCATTTTCGACGGCTGAACTTCTGCCTAATGTGGCGATAGCCTAAGAATTGATATTAGGTATTCCAAACAAAATGGTTGCCCGTAGATAATGACAGGCCACTGACAGGTTATGATATGGCAACACTGGGCCTGGTGATTTGACAGGGTCGATGTTATAGATATTTTTCAATATACGCAAAGGCTGAAAATTGGTTTTAAAACATATTTGCAAAACCGATTCAAATTAATGAACCCCTGCCAGGCAATATGGCCGTTCGCAAACGACTTTTATAACTTGTATGCACGATACACAGACTAACGGTATGTTCCTGCGCATACAGCTGACTGACGGTGACGTCACGTGGGACATAGAATTATAAGCATTAAATGGGAGATAGCGTTTAAAATTCTTGCCAATTTTAGATTTTATGCAGTTATTTAAGCTATATTGGTTATTTTGTAATATATTCGTTTACAAATATGAAGGTTTAAGATAAATAATACTAATAAAAATATTAATTTTTCTCATAAATTATAGGTATTTTGTGACAAATTCCATAACCTGGTCATAAGATAAATAAAAAATATAGACTAAAAATACAAGTTTGACTCAAATTTGTACTTTCTGGGCGTGGTA